GCAAAACGATAATATTACTAGCCCATTTGTATGCAAAAAGAAAACTATTTAAATCTTTATAAAAGAGTATACCATTAATTAAATATAACACCATTATTTCCGCCCATATACTAATTAATTACATACTTAATTGTGTTCGTTAATAAATTATTCTAAATAAATGTGGATTTGAGTCAGAAATCAATATAATAATAAGTTATCACAATTAAAGTCTCTGTTGTATATATAAATAAGCATTTATTAAAAAATGAAATATCATTTTTAAGGTGTTACTTTTTATCACACTGTCTAATACCCATACAAAATTCAGTTTTTTAGTATTTGGAGCAATTATTATTAATCAACGCAAACAGTCAATTCATGTAGTTTGAATACTGGAATCATATTAATTGGTCCTCTTTAACAAATATTTAAACAGTTTTTTTTTATTTTTTTAATGAAATAAACGAACTATATCGACAATGTTAGTATCTCTACTCTTTACAAATTTGGTACATCTTTAAAACAATCTAAAATGTCAATATTCCATGGGTATATTGATAAATGAGGTCTAAATTATAAGAAAATGCATTTTCTACGAAAACTTGAAGGGATAGGTAAAAAATGGTATAACACAATTTGATAGACAATTAAATTGTGCATCTGATTCTCCTAAAATATACAGGGCGTTCCATTTAAATTAAACAAGTTATTGCCGTTTGAAGCTAATAATTATTTAAAATAAATTTTTAGACACTCTGTATAAAGTAGTATTATTTTTATTATTGCAACACAATAACTGATCAATAAATAAACTTCAGTAAATATTTAGTATTAAAAACTTTGATACCCTTGGAGGAATCAAGCCTTAAAATTTTTACTGCAAAAGTAAAAATAAATATGTAAAAATATTCCATGGGTATATCGATAAATGAGGTCTAAATTATAAGAAAATGCATTTTCTACGAAAACTTGTAGGGATAGGTAAAAAATGGTATAATACAATTTGATAGACAATTAAATTGTGCATCTGATTCTCCTAAAATATACAGAGCATTCCATTTAAATTAAAGAAGTTATTGGCGTTTAAAGCTAGAAATTATTTAAAATAAATTTTTAGATACTCTGTATAAAGTAGTATTATTTTTATTATTGCAACACAATAACTGATCAATAAATAAACTTCAGTAAATATTTAGTATTAAAAACTTTGATACCCTTGGAGGAATCAAGCCTTAAAATTTTTACTGCAAAAGAAAAAATAAATATGTAAAAATATGTTAAAATTAAAAAAAAACGATTAAAAAAAGTCGCCTTGACTAGGATTCGAACCTGCCTTACTACGGCTCCAATGTCATAGCAGCGTAAAGTCCTAACGCTTTAACCACGCAGCCACCGAGGACTTGAAAGATTCTATGTCAAATTCTTACTTAAAAGATAATGTTTAGTGAAAGTACTTTTTTATTTATAAACATTTATTTAATTCTGTTTTTAGTATTTGTTCTTATAGCGGCAACATAGATACATTATCTATAAAAATTTCAACTGTCTAGCTATAACGGTTCATAAGATAAACCTTTGTGACAGACGGACAGACAGCGAACTCTTAGTAATAGGGTTCCCGTTTTTACCCTTTGGGTACGGAACCCTAAAAATGAAAATGTGGTAGAATTTTTCCTAAAATATGGTAGAAAGTCCCAAAAATTATATTTCTTTCTTAATCTTTTTCAACTTATTCAAATGGGATACCAATTTTTAATTATACCTCATTTGGTCATAACATTATTTTCCTAAGGTTATTACAAGCCATGTAGGTACTCAACAAATCCAAGTTCTCATTTTATTACCTTACTTAACAATGGAAGCGTTTTTTTTTGTTTAACCTGTGTGTGGCAAGCGTAACACAACAGAATACCGCAGTAGTACCGCCAGAGGTACTGCTTCTTTTGGTATACAATGCGTAGACCTCTGAGTAATGAAATAACCTAGAAAACTATGAATGGTTCGTTTACGAAAAACCACAGAGACACTTGGGTGTTAAATATGGTACAAGGTTTTTCATTTTCTATCTACATATACAGGGTGTTTCGTAAATAAGTGCACGTATTTGAAGGAGTGATAGATCAGGACAAAAGAAATTTCAGCACCCTGTATCTCTGTAATTAAGATATTTAGGACATACATTCATATGAAGTTTTTCTCTTAGAATAGGTCCAAGAATCACGCCCTTAAATATTAGCATGTCGTTAGGGAACACCCTGTATATTTAACCTATATTAATAACTAGCGTGTACCCGCGACTTCGTTCGCGTCGAATTAATCATTCGTAATGGTGATGATAAAGCAAAGCAAGAATTTCCATTAACATACAAACTGGATAAAATTTTCTTATCCAGTTTCTTCTATGGCGATATTATTATAGAACTTGGTAATATTTGAGGGGTAGTTTCATCTTGTTGGAATTTGACTTTCGAAAAATCCGTTTGCCAAAAATAAGCTTTTTACGTCAAGCAGTTTAAGCAGAATCGTGGTTAATCAATTACCCAACTTTTTGGAACACCCTGTATGATTTTTTAAAAACAGATTAACAGAAAGACTAACCCTTTTTTAAATAAAAAATATTGTAATATTTGAGTGGCGTTTTCACCCTCTGGGAATTTGAGATTCGAGAAACCCCTCCTTATCGAACCTTTACACCCCACAGTCAATCCGTTTGCCAAAAATCAGCTTTAAACTTCAAGCAGTTTAAGCAGAATCGTGATTACTCAATGGTCATATTTTATGAAACACCCTGTATAAATTTTTAAAAAATCTTAAAATATGTAAAACAACAAAATAAAATATACGCGTTTAAGAGTTTTTTTCCGAAAAACTCACCGGTTTTCAAATAAAAAATATTCTAATATTTGAGGGTTTTTTTTAAACCACTACCACTGCGAACGGCAGCTTTTCATCGGAGAGCAGTCGTGGATAAGGTATTTCACTAGAGAGAAAATTAATCAGTAATAATTAACAAAAGATATATAGATATTGGGCGCCAGGCATGTACAGAGAAAGAAAACACAGTTGTATATTACTTAAAACTAATGACTATATTTATTCATGATGAATTCTGATGGTAAATAGCATTGTACAATTTTAATAATTATTATAGTGGTTATTTGTTGAGTAAAACTATGTATGTAAATAATATTAAATATGTTCTATGAAAAGACTATGAAAAAATACAATGCGTGTAACGTTATAGAAAATATAAGAAAAGTAGCATTACTTTATTTAATTTAATATATTCCATATGATGCTAAATCGAAGATGTTACAACCTGTAGATTCTAGAATCTATTAAAATAGTGCAATAATATCTATAAAAGTAATACCATTACAAGACGTAATGCAATGAAACCTAAGATCTAAATTATATTTTAAAGATTATATCGACATGAATGTTCTTAACAATCTAACCACTGAACATAGTCTGTACGATATTACTTAAGATGTACGTTATTGTTTAAGACTGAAAATGTTTTAGATGTTAAATGTAAAACTAGAACTTAAATATACACTTAGCTGTTCTTTTATGTAACCTTGCTTCAAACAGTAGCAGCGTGAGGTGGTCTAGCATCTCTGTACTGTCTGTCGGCCATCCTGTTGGCCAAAACAACAAAAGGGGCCAGATTGAGGACACCGTGAATCACTACAGCCGCAGCCACTGATCAGGCTTAGAAATGGGAGTGAAGCAGCATGGGACTCAAGCTACATCCACGCTGTGGCACTTAGATGCAAAAAAAAATCGCTCTCACTGGGGACACTCGTCCACAGGACATCTTGGACACAGTCCGTACCTTGGAAATAGTCCGTACCTTGGACACAGTCCGTACCTTGGACATAGTCCGTACCTTGGAAATAGTCCTACCTTGGACACAGTCCGTACTTGGACCCTAAAAATATGAAACTCTTGTTTAAAACCAAACAAGGTCTAATAAACAAAATAAACCCACCTCGAAATACTTCCGAGGGCTCAATAAATAATAAACAACATGTCCTTTCTTCCATGTGACATTCTGGAGGACAAAAGAAAAGGGACGCCAACGTGCCAGCAAAACACAAATACAAGTTGGGACATCCGTAACTCTACCCTAAAAATTCAATAATAATATCGAATCTAAAAGGATAATATCTCATCTTTACCTGTTGCTTTGAAATAGCAGCTGATTCAGATTATACAGCAAGATTTAAATAATCACCATTTCTAAAAGCTGGGATAAAACAGAGCGTCAAAACAAAGTGAGGTTAAGCACGGAGAGTTGACAGAAGCGATGTTGACAGCGCGCGCCTTCACAGAATAGTAACAGGGTTGTGTCGAACGATCACAGGGTTGGCGACCAGGGAACGTAAAAATTACGCGTCAAATAAACTATCCGGCCTGAACGAGAGGGAATCCGGTGATGATAGGCCAGACATCATATATTATATATAAAAAAGACATGTAACGAACTAAAAACGTTACAACCCCCTTAGAATTCGAGTTTCGAAAAATCTTATATAATATCGATCTTAATAAAATCTTATATAATATCTTATCGAACCTCTACACCCTAAAATCAATCCGTTTTCCAAAAATCAGCTTTTTACGTCCAGGATCGTGATTAATCAATGACCAGATTTTTTGAAACACCCTGTATACATTTTTAAAAAATCTTAAAATATGAAAAAAAATAAAATAAAATATACGTGTTTAAGCGTTTTTTTCGGAAGCTTGACCGTTTTTTAAATAAAAAATATTGTAATATTTGAGGGGTGGTTTCACCCCCTTGGAACTGAAATTTCGAAAAATCCCTTCTTATCGAACCTCTACACCCTAGAATCAACCTGTATGCCAAAATTGAGCTTCTTACGTTGAGTGGTTTGAGCAGGATCGTGATTAATCAGTGAGTCAGTCACTTAAGGATTTTATATATTAGTATAGATTAAAATATTAGGTTTTGAATTGAAATCTAATACTATCTTTTTATTGGTTTTTAGGTACCAAAATGAACTGCCCAAAAAGATCAAGTCCCGAGGGAAAGACGCACATATGGTTCACGAGGAGCTGGTCCAAACGATGAAATGGAAACAAATTAGGGGAAAATTCTACCCGCAGCTCAGTTATCTGGTCAAAGTGAACACTCCCCGTATGGTGATACAAGAGACGAAAAAAGCCTTCAAAAAACTGCCCAACTTGGAACAAGCCATCACTGCACTTAGTAATTTGAAGGGTGTCGGCACTACCATGGCTAGTGGTGAGTGTTCGATAGTTCTGTTTTATAGTAGTGTTTTTATTCTTTACCCTAAGCTATAAAAAATTGCACGAAAAACTATTAGTCCGAGAGCTAGCAACGTTTTCCAGAAAGCTGGCTCTTATATCTTTTCCTATGCTCTCTGGAACAGCGTGCGAGTCGTCTGGCTGCCGATAGACGTTGCGTTCACTACTGCGGATTGAAAGAAGAAATATTCCTATACCGGGTGTTGCATCGTCGAGCGGGAAATAGGAAATCCCATGTAAATTTTAGTGGGGTCAATTATTGGCTTCCCTAATTATTTTAGAGAATAATTCTATTTAGGTTTATTGAAGAGCACTAAAACCCACATTCAAAAGAATAACTTTAGATATTTTTGATTAGCCCGTTTACGAGGTATCGTCGATTTCTTTTTAAATATTTCTCCTTTCTTATGGCCCTGTATTTACTTATGAGCACCAGTCAAGGCAAAAGATAACTGTCAAATGAAGTTGTCATTTCAGAAATTTACCTATTTAGTGCTTTATTATTATTGAAAACTCATTCCTACATCGGAAATCTTAATAAAAACTTAATAACTTATTTAATAACTTATTAATTTAGGTACTATTAAATTGTTAGAACTTTAGGATTTAAGATGCTCAAATATTCCTCCATCGACTGCTAGACAATAACCCAGGCGATCATAAAATTCTCTTCTTACATTCGCTAGTTGGTAAACTGAAATTCTATTGCATTCGGCAGGAATAGCATTTTTTAACTCGTCTAGATTTGGGTATTTTTTATCCTTGTATATCTGGTTTTTTAAATGGCCCCAGAGAAAGAAATAATTTGGCGAAATATCAGGAGACCTTGCTGGCCAATTTACTGTGTGATTTAGGTCAATAACGTTCCCGTTAAAACTATTGCCTAAATATTCCCGAACAGTCAAGGTACTATGTGCCGGGCAGCCATCCATTTGGTACCAAACTTCCTGATTTTCCCTAGCGGCATCATGTAAAGCAGATAAAATATGATTTTCGAGTAGTTCCAAATAATATTCTGCATTTAAATTTCGCGTAAGAAATAATGGCCCTATAATATTGTGTCCGGATATCCCTGCCCAAACATTTACTTTCTGTGGATATTGCGTCCTTGTTTCGACAAACCTGTGTTGGTTTTCTTTGTTCCAATATCGATAACTTTGAACCCCAATGTTCATTATTTAAGGTAAACGTGCATTCGTCAGTGAAGCATATGTTTTTTAAAAATTCCCTCTCCGTGTTTGCTCTTTCCATCATATCAAAACAAAACGCCTGCCGCCGTATGTCGTCCCCATCTCGTAGCTCTTGGTGCTTTTCATATTTGAAGGAATAGTATTTATGTCGTTTCAAAATTCGAAACGCTGTAGTGTGATCTATTCCTATTTCATCCTCAAGTTTCCTTGTGCTGATCTTTCCATCGTTCTCTTCCACGCACAATAAAACTTCCAAGTCGGTATCATTTCTTGCATCTTCTCTTTGTTCCTGCCTTGCTTCACATCTGCAGATATTTATTAGGGTACCTTTGGTCTCAAATCTCTGGATATTCCTTGCGATTGTAGATTTTCCAGGTATCGGTCTATTCGGATACAGAGCAGCAAACATGTCCGACACCTTTTGATGACTATTTCCTTGATAATACCATTTAATCATCAATACTTTTTTTTCGGTAGTGTAATTCATGGCTAATATTTTCGATGTAGGTATGAGTTTTTAATAATAATAATAAAGCACTAAATAGATAAATTTCTGAAATGACAACTTCATTTGACAGTTATCTTTTACCTTACTGGTGCTCATAAGTAAATACAGGGCCATAAGAAAGGAGAAATATTTAAAAAGAAATCGGCGATAACTCGTAAACGAGCTAATCAAAAATATATAAAGTTATTCTTTTGAAAGTGGGTTTTAGTGCTCTTCAATAAACCTAATTAGAATTATTCTCTAAAATAATTAGGGAAGCCAATAAATTTGGCCAATAATTTATTTATTTATTTATTATTTATTTATTAGAATATAAATGAAAATAAAATAAAAAAAGTTTACCCCGAGCCGCTATTGAAATCTGGACTTATAAGTCTCCAAAGCGCAGCGCTATGGAGAGCACGTCACTTGTAGATGAAAAAGACAAATGCACACACGAAACTTTACTTTTTTCTTTTTCTAGCACTCTTAGCCGCCGCCTGTCCAGAGTCTGCGCCGTTCATGGCCGACGAATGCCTCATGGCCATCCCCGACATCGAGGGCATCGACTACACCACGAAAGAGTACCTGAAGTTCGCGCAGCACATAGGCACAGTGGCGGAAAGGTTAAATAGCGACGCGGAGAGATCGAACCATTCGACGCGCTGGTCGCCTCACAAGGTCGAGCTCGCCATCTGGACGCACTACGTCGTATCAGAACTCAAACCGGAACTCTTAGACGGTAAGTTTATTGGTATAGATAATATTTTGATTTATTATTGATTAGATTCGTCAAGGTGGCTATTAGCCTGCTCCACTGCGACCTTTTCAGATCTACTGTGGTCTTCTTCTGATCCCCTTAGGTTGCATTCTTCAGTCCTATCTTTTTCAAAAAGTATCAACTTGGAGACTGAACCCTTCATATAGCCCTTTGCCAATTGCCTATAGTTTCCTAGTATAAAGAACGAAAGATTCTGACGAAATCTTCCCTGGCTCATTGAACAGATTTTACTTGATGTCGTTATTAAATGTTAATAGTACAATGCATAAAAAAATTGCAAATTTTTTTGTCTTTTGCAGATGTTCAAATAGAAAATGGCACCAGCATCCCTCCAGCCCTAGCTGCCCTTCACCAAAACGGCGATTCGTTAGATGCGGACGCCACTGTCACGTCAGACGAAAGTAATTCAGCAGGTAAATCATTAGAACTACTATCAACCAAAAAGAATAGCCAAAAAATTGACGTCGTCAATGAATATTGTGTTTGTTTCTAGGTGGAGTACCCCCGTTGAACGGTAAGTCTTCTGCGCCAGCGGCAGCAGTACCCGCCTCAGCCCTCGATGACGACACCAGGGACACGACGGCCTCGTTCGCGGACACGGACAACGGAAGTCCGGCAGTGTCCGCGGAGGAAGAACTAGGTGAAAATTCAATGTCGGCGTCCAGCGTTAGCGAATCAACAGTACAGGTGAGTCGGTCTAAAACATTGAAGAGAAAAAAACTAACTTTATTCACGAGACGCGTCGTCTTTTTACGAGAAAGATCGATTAAAACGGTAGTAGACCTAGAAGAACAGTGCAGTCGTTATCGGTAAAATAGCTGCATGATTTTATTAACTGAATTTTTATACAAATTATATTGTCTCATTTACGTGGAAAAACGTTATAAAAATAAAACTCATTTAGGTATTTTTGAATTTTTTCTATAAGGAAGTAATATTATTTAAAATATTTATAGCACGCCCATGAATTGATCGTTAACAGAGAATTTCATAACCCCCTTACCGACGTCCCGTAGCTACATAACGATATAGTATCGACATACTGTAGTTTTGTTACATTTTGGCGCCCAACGAGGGGCGCCTAGATCTAACATCTCTTTAAAAGGGTCGACGGAGCTTTCTCAAGTCTTTAATAACAACAGCTTCGAAAAAGTCTTTGTTTATAGATATTCTAAAATCGATAATATTCTTTTAAAGAGTTTTGTTACATTTTGGCGCCCAACGTGGGGCGACAAGACAGAAACATTCATGTTTTGCGACAAAGTAATGACGGATTTAATACATTTCTGCAACATTTTTGTCTCATTTTTGTTTTGTTTCCTAATTCGGAGACTTTTGAATGTCCCGTCTCGAGTCGGTAAAGTTCAAAGAGTCTCTGTTTTGTTGTGTATTTTACGACAAGTTGTCCGTGCAGTGTGGATAGCGTGCGTTGTTAAAAGTAGGAAACTAATGAAATCACACCAGTTTATTACTGTGGAGTGCTGGTACTGCTAATATAATATGACATTAGTATATGGTGGAGTACTCCATCTTTATAAAAAAAATGTCAGAAGAGAGAAAGTGAAACACGAAAAATGCCTACAAACTAATAGAGCTTTATAGAGCGCATTTATTATTTTGAGAGGGGGGTATAAACAAGGACTGCAAAAATTGTTACTAGAAAGCTGGTGCATTAGAGGAGATTTGTTTAGCATTAAATATAAACTCGGTTGATGATGTTAAGAAGAAAATAAGAAATATTAATAGCTATATAGTATATGAGAGAAATAAAAACACAAACATTATTTGTGGTTTCGTTTTGCAACATGGGATGGCGAGTCAAAGACAACACTACTGGCTGCTAGTAATATAGTTTTATCTTCTTTCTAGTGGAAAGGCTACATGATTAATAAAACTAATTCGCATATACTGAAATTTGTTGTAATTTTTTCCTCGCGGTATGGACACTTTGTCACAAATTTGTCTTGTCTGAATTTCTCATTTTTGTTGCAGATTTGTCTTGTTTTTTTCTCCAAATCGTGTTCACTTTTTGTCGATTTGGTCCGGACCCGGCATAACGTACCTTTAAAACGGTTGAAAATCGTTGAAAAAATAAAACTGATTAGGTATTTTTGAATTTTTTTATAAGGAAGTAATGTTATTTAAAATATTTATAGCACGCCCATGAATTGCTCGCTAACAGAGAATTTCATTTCCCCCTTACGGACGTCCCGTAGCTACGTAACGATACAGTATCGGCATACTGTAAAGACTTTTGTTACATTTTGGCGCCCAACGTGAGGCGCCTAGATCTAACATCTCTTTAAAAGGGTTGAAGGGGCTCGCTCTCGATTATAAAAAGCTGCTTCTAGAGCACAGTAACAAACGAGAGAAGAGGTTCAGGTAGAATTACAGCCATATAATATTGGTTATATTGAGATCGATGTTACAGTATAGTATTTTTGTGTTGCAGGACGACGATTCCAACAGTATCCAGAGCTTGAGCGCGAAGAGGCCGCTCGAGGTGCCCGACGGCCCCCCCTCAGCGAAAAAGGCGCGGGAGGAGGCCAAGTGACGTCACACCGGCCTCCCGCCCCCAACCACGCGCTCCGCTAGACTTTTTAATTCATCTAAGTAAGAGACAGAGACAGAAAGAGAGAGTATAAGCTTAGGATTTAACTATTACATGATGTTATATATACTACCTAACGTGTATAGAACCAGGCAAGACACAGTGTTACCTTTTTTAATAAAATAGACCTTTTTCCGTATATTCACAATAGACATACACACACCGTCAATACAGCATAATATTGATTGCGATTTATTTTTTTATCTATCGATTGATTAGTGGTTTTGTAAGAAATTGTTGTGAAGACACGGCGATAGAGAACGCAGGACAGGACAATGTATCACACACGAAGCCATCTCAATTAATTATTATTATTATTGTTTTAGTGAAACGCCGCTAGGTATGCAACTAAAATTACACCTAATCTTGACAGCGTACAGCTTGATTTTTATGCGTCTTTTATCTGTTGATACGATGGTCCGACGCGCGACGGCGCTCTGATTGGTCATAGCGTTTTCGCGCCACTTTTCATCCGTAAATTTTTTACTCCAGCTCGTCGACGAAGAAAGATCGTACGACACTTTTTTGACAAATTTAATTTAACCTTAATAAAAATATAATAGTACAAGAGCAAGCAACGTCGGGAAAACGAGAATTTTATGAAATCTGGTTCTTTAACTTATTGCTATGCTCTCCTGATCAAAGTGCGGGCCGTCTGGCTGCCGGTAGATTACTGCGCATCACATCTGTACAGGGTATCCTGTTTCAATTCAAATTTTCGTGTATTTTATGGGATTTCTCGTTTACGAGTAGAGATACAATGATGCGATTTTCACATTACTTTGCTACTTTTTTATGAAACTACATATGCTACACATAGGTTTGTCCTAGCCTCCTTAGTTCTTGAAATACAGGGCACATTTCTGATGCGCAGTAGTGAGCAGATATTGAATAAAGATATGATGCGCAATAGTGAACACAACGTCTACCGGCGGCCAGACGGTCCGCAAACGGTAGTAAGGGTAGACGGTAGCAAAAGATATATTACAGAACCAGCTTTCTTAAAATTCTCTCTGGAAATCGTTGCTAGCTCTTGGACTATAAGTAAAACAGCGAAATCGTTATGGAAATGAAAATATAAAATGACACCGATCACAAGCAAATCGTACATCCGATGAACGGAGGCATTAAAATGCAATCAAAATTTAAAAACTGCCTAATTTTCTAACCAATCGAAGTCTTTAAATTCAACCAATAAAATTAATATCGTATCGTCGGATAACGGATGCATGAAAATCAAGCTTAAGTTGGTTTGGTTGTTTTTTATTTATTTCTTACATTTTCTGTAAACAAAAAAAATACAGGTTTTAATATGTGCTGCTGAATAGGTTTTCCTATGATTTAAAAAAAAGTCGGAATTTTTCTAGGACTCCTTTGTGTGTATTCTTGGTTGCATACCTAGTGACGTTGACTCTTAATCACCCCCAATTTTTATTGATTGCTGTAATTTTATGATACGATTATCGTACGAACTGCCAAAACTGACATTCGTTTATTTTTTTTTAGATCAAATATATAGAGTTTTTATTTATTATTTTAGATCAATTATAATTATATTTTAGATCAATTATAATCAAATGCCGCTGCCTAGGAAGTATTTACTGATGACGGGCGGTAATCGTGTCATATACGAAACATTCTGCTCTGTAGATTTTTTCCTATATTTTTTTTATGTAGATCCTGTGAACAGATCAGTGGCGCCTAGCGCAGGGAAACAATTTTAATTGAAAAATAATTTTAACAGTTTTTGTAGATAAAGTGTTTTAATTCGTTTCATTATTAACTGAATTCGAATAAATTTATTGAATAACATTTTTTGTGTTGCCCGAACGAGTCGCCACTGGATCCACGTTCGTTCGAAGCGGTTATTCTTATTAATTTGTAAAATTGATTGATTTTAGTTCGGAAAGTAAGGCAGATTAATTATTATTATATCGAGGAATAAATATTGTTGAGAGTAGTAGTTTGTATATTCATTCCTATCTGGATTTTTGTATTTTATTTTTTAACAAATAAAGAATATGAAAACGATGTTATTTTTTAATTCTAATATTACCCAAAGTTTGATGAAAGTCAGGATAAGCATAGATAATGGAAACAAGTTTAGATTGGAATGTTCGGCTTGCCGCTAAAACTTATACTAAGGGTTGGTAAAGGTTAGTCTTGGGTCGAGATTTCCGTATGTAAGAAGAGTACAATGCGTTTATAATGTACTGAACAAAGAGAGGACAGTAAACACGTTGCCAAACGTATGAAATAAACCGAGAAACTGTGCACATCGCTAAGAGACGTGGAAGGGGATATAGCAGATTTGTCGCAGTTGACCGGTCGACTCAATCAATACCTCTGTCAGTACTTAAAGTTCTAGGGAAAGGTGTACGCCATGCGTTCAGCTTCACGATTTAATTACGTCTCGTGATACTTAATTTGTTTATTTATTAACGAGTCGTTGTAATTTTCCCTATAGCTTGAATTTTTTTAAGTGCAAGCTAGCAACACTTGCATTTTTGGTAAAAATAAGTGGAATTGAGTGGGTGTTCGATAGTGGTCGCGCTATTAGAACTCTGAATTCAAAAATCGATATCTCGAAATCTATTAGAAATAATAGATTGTAGTTTTTTCAAGAACTTTGTTAATATTTCTGCTGTATTTTCTTCGTAGACAGTATGTGAAAATCTTTATCAATAAAAAAATTACACGATTGCTGAAAATTGCTATGCTCTAAAAGTAAATGGATGGATTGTTTGAATTTTGAATGGAAAAAACAACCTTATCGAATTTTTCTTATGTAAACATATTGTTGCCAGCACGGTATAAAATAAAGTTTTTTATATGCAACACTGTATTTTATTTAAGTAATTAAAAGAAAACAATATTAAATTTGAATAAATAATATTTGGCAACATAATTCCGGAAAAAGCCGAACCGCTCCGAAATTATCAAAAGCTTTGGAGAGCGACCGTTGTGCGAATAGCGCCAAATAGTTTTTACATTGTCCTTATGGGCACTTTCCAATCTAAACTTGTTTCTTTTATCTATGTCGATAAGTAAGTGCTGTTAAGAAGCTTAAATGCGCAAGGTCATAAAATTCGGGACACATACATCAAAGAAGCCGACGCTTGCTGTCGCTTCTGTATAGCTCAAGTATTTTGTGTCCGTTAAATTAAAAACAAATCAAAATTTTAACTTAAAATTATTTATTTACATTATTTGATACATTTAATATTTATTATTCTACTTCCATGCCGCCTTCACCACGTGGTCCCCGATCTTCAGTTTTAAGGTTAGGATACAGTTTTGCCATCAGACTATCTCCAAGCCTACCAGCGAATTCTGGCCTTATTTTACTCTAAAAAAAAGTTTTATGATTACCCAGAATTTTTAGTAGTTTATTTTATGGGGTGGTAGATCTGGTCAAGAGAAATATCTTTTCTGTTTGCCATTTTTAAAAGAAATTGAAAATAACCCAGTTATTTTCAAAATTTTAAAAAATAACGACAACATTTTGAGAACCGCTGGCGATAACCAGCTATTAAGGGTTTTTCACAATGACCTCTAAATAAAGTAGACCCGGCATTTCATTCATAAAAAGGAAAAGATCAGAATCAGACATTCGTTTCTTGCTCTATGCGAGTGGGAACAAGACGGGCTGATCGCAGTCATGAAGGATTCCCGTGAGAATGGCAACGCTGTTCAGAGATCTTGAGAAAGTGTGTCATGGGCGTAGTTACTTTGATTGTAATATATAATTTAATATTATATCCGCGTAAATACCGGAAAAAAGCGGCGTCAGTTGGCTTGGAAATGACGATCGATGACATTTCCCATATAATTTTACATATAAAATGACAGCGATCTTCATTTCGTAGCCATCGTTGACGCCGTTTTTATTCGATCATACGGTATGATTTTTGGATACGATATATTGTTGTGCTCGATGGCTCTTCAAATTTTGAAAATGACTACTTCTGTACTCCAATAAATTGAAAATAACTAATTGAAATATTATGATATGCACATTTCCATAGTATAAAGTCTGTAAATTGCTCCAGTAGTAATATAATCCATCAAGCATTCAATGAATACGAGCCGACGACGACTTTTATAAAACATTTATGTGAATTAATGGTTATTATTTTGCTTGAAGCAACGGTGGAAAATGAGAATATTTTAAAACTGTCGTGACTAATTACAATTTTATATTAGGTATAAAAATATTACTATATAGCAACAATAATAAAGATCTTTGTTAAACAAAAGAAAATTTCTAAAATATTTACTTATTTCTGGAACAGTTTCTTCGCGGATAATCGGGACCTTGTACTGAATAAATAATTAACTTTTCATTAGAAATTACCAAACAAAAAATAAGTAATGCTTATAAAACATATCAAACAAAGATGCATTCATCTTTTTAAACTATATAATTTTTATAGCATTAATAAACAAAACAAAAAATACATTGCTCTATTACCATAAACATTATACCATCGAAAAAAACGGCGTAAAAATGACAATCAGTGATAATTTTGGCGAGGTGATATGTCATGACCCCTACTCTTGTTTATTTTTAATGGCACTTACTGGCAGTAGTAGGCCTTAAGGTTGTATTTGATTTTTAAATGGTGTAGTATAAATTCGAAATTTTTTTTTGGATATCGGTTTGTGTTTCTGGAAACGTTCTATCCTTTTATAATTTTTCTATAATTAGTATTAGTTTTTGACAAGCTTTATGTCAATTTTTAATAAATGACATCTAGAAATAGACCTCGCCAAAATTATATTCGATTGTTATTCCCAGCAGTCTTCGATACCGTTTTTTTTCGATCATTCGGTATTTAGTATGTAATATCCAACGTACTCTTCCCTTAACTTTTTTTCAATCATTATATAAATCTATTTTGATTTTACACTTAAAAAATCATCTTTAACAACTAAAAATCCTAATAACAATCAGTATGATAGAAAAAAAGGCCTCCAGTTGGCTTAGAAATGAACATCGATGACATTCCCCATATAATTTTACATATAAAATGACAGCGATCTTCATTTCATAGCCATCGCTGACGCCGTTTTTTTTCTCGATCATATGGTATTTCGCTTATGAACATTTTTCGTAATTGTGGCATCTTTAATTTTTTTATATATCTTTTCAACAAATTAATCGCATTTGTATACTTGGTATTTGTATACTTGGTTTTAATAATTAAAAATTATGAGCAAAATATTCAATAAAACCAAACGTGACGAAACTAACTTAATGTAATTCATTACTTATAACGGTACATTCCAAAACTGTGTGATTTACTAATACATATTTCCAAAGATTTTTCTCTATTTTACCTTTCGGCACCGCACTGATGTAACATAGCCTTACTCACCTTCGAAATGAAACTTCTAGGTTTAAATCGTCTCTATTTTTGCAAATTAAGCAAGTTCGCACCATTGTCTTATTGTTTATCAATAAAATCACTAAAAACAATACCACAAAACACTAAAATATCTGGAAATCACCTCGTAAAACATTTCGAAAAACTACAACACATTGGCAACGCCGTAGAGCAATTTATGAACGAATTCGAACTGGATGTTTTGTTGGCTGCCTAAATTTAGGAGTGAAGATAGTAAAATGCGTACGTTTTCGGCATCAGCTGGCGTTGCGACGTTGTCGATTGTTTTATGTTAAATTTCTTAATTTCTAAAAATTATAATTACAGAAGATTTAAACCTTTACTTATTAACTTTACTACCTTTAATTATTATCGGTTTAAAATATTCTACGACGTAATCTATATTTGGAATTATGGAATTCCTGGTTTACAATGTGGGTTAGCTATCCCCGTACGTATACGTAGGTAAGATTTCATTTTAAATGCGGCCGGTAGTGGAAATTTGGCATACATGCAATTTTCTAAGGCAATGATGGATTTCGCCAAAATGTAAGTCGCCGGGTCTAATTTATTTCGATGTCATTGGCTATAAGGGTTTTTCAGCATAATATTCGACGCCTCAGGTGAATAAACAAGTGGCACTAAAAAGTTTTTTGAAACTCGGAAGATGTCAAGAAAAATATAAAATTTTCAACAATTTTTTTTCACAAAAAAAACCTCTTAGGCGTGTTTCTGGGGCCGGAATATACTACCAGTTAAAATATTTGCACTTATATCTGGACACGTCAGTGGCGTAGTTTCAGGACCTTCATAAAAATAAAAAAAGAGTTATAAATAAATAAATACAATACCTTCTCCTGCACAGCGAATATCTCAAACAGACTCTTCTGTGTATTATATATCGATCCGCCTTTATTTGAGTGCTTGTTCCCAAAGGGCGCTGCTATAGCCAGTGGCGGAGGTGACATCGGAGAGTCAGTGGTAGCCCTTATAACCGAAGCTCTTTGAGCATTCTCGTCTTTCGTTTGAGCTCCGATGTTATCCAGTTGATTTAAGGCTTCATCCAGATCAACCTTTTCGGTCGTTTTGTCTTCGTCAAAGCTAAATTTGTGACACTCCAGCAGACATTGGTAGACGAGTTTGTGGTTTTCAGAATGCAGGTTACATTTTATGAAGGCTTCTAGTTCATTCCACATAGCCTGAAATAGTTTTTTTAAACTCCCAGAGTATATGCCAGGTAAAACATTATGTGTAGGCGGGGTTCAAGTTTTAATTAAAAATTACAAGTACTTACTTTGTACTGTTCTTCTCTCTTTTGTCCTTTCAATCTCTGACCAGTATTCTGTGGATGCAAGGGCTCCATCTTGGATTCTAGTGATATCAGGTTGAAAATCACTTTTTTACAGACAAAAACCTCATCATCTGTCATTTGTTCTTTAGTAATCAACGTTGGCAACGGATCGATATACTAAAATAATTAATAGAAGTCAAAGAAAACATATTTTTTCGTCCTCTGAATGAACGTCATATTACAGGATATGTTGGCTACAAAATATAGAGTCAATATTGCGGTGTCTAGTTACGGCATGACCTAAGGTTTGTTTTTTACCATTGAATAAATACTAACGAAGTTATGATCATTGACGTTCTAGTTATATTTAAAACATGTTAAAATATAAAGTAAAGCTTCACTCCTTTGAATAAGAAGACTAAGGAAGGAGCATAATGCTATCCATGTATTCATGCATGGTGAGCGGAAAAAGCGCCATAAAAGCACATCACAGGGTGGGGATCCTTGACAGTTCTGTTTGACGATTCATTTGACACATTTGAATTTGATTTGAAATTTTGTGGATTTGTCAGTCTTTAAGGAGCTTATTTTATGTTATTTATTATTTATTCTACTACTGATAGTTGTATAAAGGTAGTAAATCTAGATGGAAATTGTGGCAGCACTTAAATTAACAGTGACACTATCGCGATTTATCGAAAAAGACTCTAAAATAGTTGGCTGTGTAGCGTGCGGTAGATCTCGGCAAAAATTGAGTGAAATAATGGAACAACTTTTCGCTAGTAAGTGACTGTATAATATACATACGTGTAGTAAACCGATCATTTATGAAATTCACTTAAATTAACTAAATTATATATTTTTCTTGCATTTTAGCTTTTATTTATTACTTGTCAAAGATTAGATGTCAAAGAATTTAGATACGTTAATTTGACTTACCTGCTTCAGTAGCGTATCGGATGTTTGTGGTAATAAATACTTATTATAACTTATCTATTTTTATTAGAATTATATATTTTTATAACAATTTTAATAACTACCAACATTTATTCACAACGTAAAATAAAACAACAAATTATTGAGTCCACCCCACGTCTACCCTACATCATAGCTTTACATTTTTTAAATAAAATTAGAACGACACTGATATACCGGAATTTAAGTCGGCCATATTTGAGGCCCATCGCGGTGTACCTAAGATTTTTGATATGCTCCTTAGTGGAATAAATTAGTGGTTTCCATTGGCGTAACTACAGGGGTGCCCGGGGGTGCCGGCCCCCTCCCCAGGTATTGCTGGGCACCCCCCAGAGAAATCCCGATTTATGACTACTCTTTCTCTATGGATGCAACATGGATGCGGATGGACTCGCAACTGCTGCTAGGATATTCTATTAATTTTAATTGATTTTTTTAAAATTGTGAATAATGTTATACTCTTAAATATAAAGTATAATTAAAGCGTCTAACTTATTCCACTAATTTCGAAGTTCTGAATGAAGCACTAGTCTTTTTAATCAACGGTTTAATCCTGCCCTGAAATGACGTCACAGTAGGACTTATGTTGGTTACATGGTATCGACCAAATTAGGGTGTCTATGTATCCAATGATCTAAGGTTGTTCGAAGTCGTTATTAAAAAAAATAATTTTCTTTTCAAAAAAATTATATAAATAAACTTACCTGCTTAAGATTGAATATCAACGTGGAACTGATAGTCAAAGGCCAGTATTTCGTCTGTCTTGCCAGTCTTTCCTTCATTTTCTCTATAGGTTTTTGCTCGTCTGTAGCAATTTTGATTTTAATCGGAACCAAAGTGTTCTGTTTGATAAACAGCCCGAAATCCGTTATCCTATAATCTGTTACTCTGCCACCGCAACCCTCAGATATAGAGGGCGGATCCTCCAGCACCGACCTGGCCGTGCACAGGGTGTGAATAAAAATCTCGCCCCCGTGGGCCGCTAGCAAGTGGCTGGTGATTTTCCCGCCAGCTTTTCGCGGCATTTCCAGCATCACTGATCTGCCACTGAGTAGGAAATTAATCAGACACAACGATGGTCTAGAATTGACATCTACCGGAGTAATGCGATGCATTGCGGTGCAGTTTTGTAGCTCGTTACCGGTTACGCCTCTTGGGGTGCACCATTTTAATGTAACCTAGATAACATACAGGATTTTTGAAACACCCTGTATAGTGAATAAAAAACATACCGTATCATATTCCAAGCCTTCTTTGGGCGTTCTTATCGCCGCCGAATCGGAAGCGTTGCTTTTCAGGATAGCCGTATGAGCCAAAGACGAGTGAAATATTTCCACATCGTAATTTGCCGAAGAACTGGCGTTTTGTTCCTCCTTCATCGGAATACCTTAACGAAAATCACATTTAGATAGTCCAGGTTTCATATTACACAAAATAATCGAGAAAAAAACGGCGGCACAATAGCCTTCGAATGACAATACATTGTCATTGCAAAAGACTACCGTGACGCCTTTTTTTTCGGCCATACAGTACCTGTGACTGTTGTACTGGCCAAATCATAATGATGTAGGATTAAAGATGAAAGTTTGTTGGGTATTTGTGGAGCTTTAATAGAATGAACTTCGGTAGTCAGTAAAGGTGACAGCTAAAATTGGAGAAAATAGCAATTTTTTGAAAAAAAAAATAGATTTTTGGGTGACTTACCACTTTTGGAGGATGATTATTTACAGAGGACTCAATATTTATTGGAAAAGTATTGATTATCACTAAATGACAATGATCTATAGGTAACAGACTGAAAAAAAATATATTTAAAAAAATGTAATAAAAATCTCTTCTTTATAACCAAAGACTAAAGAATACAAGGACCAATAACACAAGGAAACAAACTGTTACCAGTTGGCACCAAAGAAACAGAATTAAATAAAAATTGCAATTTAATATTTAGTTATGAATAATCTTTATTTATTTATATTTTTAATGAAAATTTCGTCTACGCCAATAATTTAAAGAAAAAAATATTTAAAACATTCACAAAAGGCTCAAAAATAGTACGGACTATAGGTAATTGCCCAATAATTACCAAATTCAATAAAAAAAGCTAAAAAAGTGGAGTGCAGGAAACTAACTGTTTGTTTATTTATCTAGAAACATAATTCCTAGCTCTTTCTTCTATATGCAGCTTTTACACACGAAAGATGAACAAATCACCATTGTAATAAAGTTTATACAAAGTTCAGTACATGTAACAAACTATTAAAAATTGTTAAAATTATCCCTGGTGCGATTTGACACCAAAAAAATGGCATCCTATAATTTTACATCATTCAGTGTTACCTACATGTCCTTGTATTGTGTAGTTGTTGGTATAAATTGTAATATAAAAACTTACGAATCATTCCCAGCAACTAATTTATTTTGTTGATTCAAAACTGTAAGAAATATTTCTTCTAACCTCTTCATACTTTCGTTATCTCTGGCTGATGTGATACAAATAACTCTACATCTAGAAAAAAATACAATATAATAGTGATATAGACATATAAAATCATATTTTTTTACCTGTTCAACACTTTACATCCATCTGTTTTCATTTTTTCTATCTGATATTCTGTCGGCTCACACACCCCTTCAATAGCAGCCCTTAATCCATGCAACACCGTATAATCCGGTGTAGGTGTCGTGGATCTTAAAGGAGAATGGGATGGAGGTATACCGATGTGAGCACATCCATTTAAAATCTAACACAAAAAACACAGATAATAACTTTATAGAATGTTTTATACTTAACTTACATGGCTGACGGATTGTTGATTCGTATTCCAACTATTTAAAACGTGCGCTATCGTATCACTGACAAAAAATCGTACTAGTTTCCCGGTTGGAAACAAGTCCCAAATAATCCTGCAATACTCGACTGCGCTTTCTACGCTAGAGGTCCACAGGCTTTTCGAAATTGGCGTCATTGGTATAAAACTGGAAGTTCTGCCTTTCAGAAACTCAAATTCGATCACATTTTCGCAGGATATTCCAAAATACGGCGTGTGGTCCAGCACGAAAACCGTCTTGTGATTTGCGGGGTACATTTTGCTGCTGGGCAATGTATAAGACATTTTTACAAGACTTTTTGTACAATATAACTTGTTAAAAACTTTTTTACTATAGGTTAGATAATGTAGAGATAATTAGACATCATAAATATAACTAGCTGTAATAATTAAAGTATTTTTCGAACATGTATAAACAAATTACAATAAATAGAGCATTTCTGAACAAAAATAAACATTTAAAATTGACGACCACAACACCGGCCGGCAACTGTCAACGTCAAAAAGATTTAATATTATTCTATGGTCGCCACTGTCGCCAGTAATTATGTAAAAATATCCCTAGATTTTTTATTATATTCGTTTAAAATAGGATTTACATAAAAAGAACCAACGCTTTTAAATAGAATTTAATCGAAAAATAAATAATTATTGAGTTTTTTACGAACGGTAATACTTTACTCACATTTTTACTTAGTTGCAATGTACGTAGTTATGTTGCTTTTATAAAGATTTATGTTGGCTGTATTGTTTATGAATTTTTTTGGCGGGACGCACTTTCGGTACAAAAAAATTGCGTTTTTTAAGCGCATTCTTTTTCTGTCTCCAATCTAGTTCAACAACGTGTATTTTGTGTTAAAGAGCCAATCAAATATATTTCATATAAAATGGATAATTTAGAAGTCGTCCCATCCCCAGGTATGTATCTCAAAAAAATTATAATTAATTATATAGAGTATCGGCATCGATATTTTTTAGAAATGGTATTACCTAATACCGCCTATGAAACCGCAATACGTAGGGTGGCCAATCCGCTTTTTATGGAGATGGTCCATACTTTACACTGGCCCTCACTCACGGTCGAGTGGTTCCCCGATTTTGTAGCTGACGGAGAACAGGAAGACAAATTTTCATTCCACAGATTGATTATGGGCACCCATACAGGCGAACCACAAGATCACTTATTAATTGCAGGGTAATTGATGTTAAAAAGAGCGCGACTTCAAATACAGGGTGTTAAAAAAACATGCCGTTTCTGGTGGGGAGATTCCTCATCACGTAAAAAAACTACCTAGAGAAAAAATATACAGGGTGTTTGGAAAAATATGTGTCATCTCTCGTGGGGAGGTTCCTCACGTAAAAATAAGATTTATTTTTCATATACATAGGTCGTCCGATTCTGCTTTGTTTCGTAGCTACAGGGTGTTAAAATATTTTTTCGATTTATTATAATTTTCTTCCAAGGACTTTTAGCGTTTCGAATGAAATTTTGGGGGTAAAAGTTACTATAAATATACCACCCCTAAAAATATTTGCACTTATTTAAGAATCTCGTTACGCGAGAGATGGCTCATGTTATTTTAAACACCCTGTATAATTCGACGTGTCTAAAGTAAGAGCGAGTCACCCTGTATATTTTTTAGAGTTTCATTACACAAATCATTTACTGGCGACGATGATATGTCATCTTCCGATGATGAAGAAGAAGAAGATTTAGATGGTTCGAATAATCCCTTTAAGAGTGACCTAATACTCCTTCAAAAAATTAATCACGAGGGAGCAGTGAACAGAGCAAGACATATGCCTCGAAATCCTTGTCTAATAGCGACTAAAACTCCATCTAGTGACGTGTTAGGTAAGTAATTATTTTCTTAGGCGTGGCGGAGTGACACGGTCCAACTGTCACATGTATCATCATCTATATTATGCCCTTTTTGAGTCGCATCTTCGTTATGCCCTTCCATCCTACTTGCTGCGCGACAAGGTTTGATCGTATTTTCAAACTTCAAAATAGAGCAGTTCGATATTTATTGGGACTGAACAGCACTTTGAATAAGAAGACTAAGGAAGGAGCATATCAAAAATCTTAGGTACACCGCGATGGGCCTCAAATATGGCCGACTTAAATTCCGGTTTATCAGTGTCGTTCTAATTTTATTTAAAAAATGTAAAACTATGATGTAGGGTAGACGTGGGGTAGACTCAATAATTTGTTGTTTTATTTTACGTTGTGAATAAATGTTGGTAGTTATTAAAATTGTTATAAAAATATATAATTCTAATAAAAATAGATAAGTTATAATAAGTATTTATTAACACAAACACCCGATACGCTACTGAAGCAGGTAAGTCAAATTAACGTATCTAAATTCTTTGACATCTAATCTTTGACAAGTAATAAATAAAAGCTAAAATGCAAGAAAAATATATAATTTAGTTAATTTAAGTGAATTTCATAAATGATCGGTTTACTACACGTATGTATATTATATAGTCACTTACTAGCGAAAAGTTGTTCCATTATTTCACTCAATTTTTGCCGAGATCTACCGCACGCTACACAACCAACTATTTTAGAGTCTTTTTCGATAAATCGCGATAGTGTCACTGTTAATTTAAGTTCTGCCACAATTTCCATCTAGATTTACTACCTTTATACAACTATCAGTAGTAGAATAAATAATAAATAACATAAAATAAGCTCCATAAAGACTGACAAATCCACAAAATTTCAAATCAAATTCAAATGTGTCAAATGAATCGCCAAACAGAACTGTCAAGGATCCCCACCCTGGAGAGCTTTTATGGTGCCTTTTCCGCCCACCATGCATGAATACATGGATAGCATTATGCTCCTTCCTTAGTCTTCTTATTCAAAGGAACAGCAGAACTCACTGCCAGAATTTCTTTAAAAATTTCAAAATACTGACTCTTCCTTCTTTATTCGTTTTTGAATCCGTTTGCTTAATCCGCAAGTACATAATATCTGCTATTCTGGAAAGACCATCCTACAACTATCCACTTAGGAATGCGGAGCATGATCTTTATCTGCCAACCCCGAGCTCAGAACTAGTTAAAAGCTCAATACTGTACAATGCCAAAAAATGTACAGGGTGGACCATTTTGGCTGTTTCTATAGGGTATCTAGGAAACCGTGAGAAATATTCAAATTTTGATACTGCAGTCTCGGGTTCTTTTTTTGAAAAAAAAATACAATGGCGCAAACGGATCGTGGCTATCTTGATCGGTTTCGAAGCTACAGGGGGATTCTCAGATTTTGTACTTTTTGAAGATGTTCGATAGTTTGTTTATTTCAGCAACCACGGAAAAATGAATTATACATTCTAAAGGCACTTTTCTGTGTAGAATCTTCATCTTCTTTCTGATAATTTTTGGGACGCGGTTTTTGAAAAGATCCAAAATTGATTAAACTATCTTCCAATCTTTTAAAAATGGCTGGATTTGGTTGCTCTCGCTCAAAATACCGCTCAAAATATAAATCAGCTGCCATTTGCTTATGTTTGTTAGACTCAATATAACATTCTAACATATTATATTTCTCAAAATTTTCAAATTTACTCATTTTTTATTATTTAAAATACACACACTTCAATCTGTTGAAATGAAATGTCCCGCATCCATCAAACGTATGTTCCGATCACCATGATAACCGTTTACTTTGTTACTCGGCGCGGCCTACTATCTACTAAGTGGATATTTTAAGAAAAATTTGAAAAATCGAGGTTAATATTAAAAATAAATAAAGAGTGTTATATATTTTTGAGCAGCCCATGCCAAGCTGAATAAGAAAATTTAAAAATATACAGGGGGTTCTATTTAAAAAAAAAAAACATAAGTATAGTTAATATCTCAAAAAATATTTTTTTCGAAAAAAGTCTGACTACGCCACTGCATTCTACAAAGAAAAGTGCCTTTAGAATGTATAATTCATTCTTCCGTGGTTGCTGAAATAAACAAACTATCGAACATCTTCAAAAAGTACAAAATTTGAGAATCCCCCTGTAGCTTCGAAACCGATCAAAATAGCCACGATCCGTTTGCGCCATTGTATTTATTTCAAAAAAAGAACCCGAGACTGCAGTATCAAAATTTGAATATTTCTCACGGTTTCCTAGATACCCTATCGAAACAACCAAAATGGTCCACCCTGTACAATCATCTGCCTTTGAATATCAAGTCACTTTCATTCTTTCCCGCATTTCGCAAAGCTCTGAAATCAGATACTTACTGGAGAAATATATGCCCTATATGCTGTAAACGACTTTTTGTTGAATGTTATTTTGCTATAGTGACAGAACAATTTTAATTAAATACTATAATTAACCTTGTAATTGATTACTTTATTTTACTGTAATTCATATTAATTTGTATTTATAAATACATCTTTAAGATTTCCGATGTAGGAATGAGTTTTCAATAATAATAAAGCACTAAATAGGTAAATTTCTGAAATGACAACTTCATTTGACAGTTATCTTTTACCTTGGACTGGTGCTCATAAGTAAATACAGGGCCATAAGAAAGGAGAAATATTTAAAAAGAAATCGGGCGATAACTCGTAAACGAGCTAATCAAAAATATCTAAAGTTATTCTTTTGAATGTGGGTTTTAGTGCTCTTCAATAAACCTAAATAGAATTATTCTCTAAAATAATTAGGGAAGTCAATAATTGACCCCATTAAAATTTACATGGGATTTCCTATGTTCCGTCCGACGATGCAACACCGGGTATATGGGCGTTACATGTCCTTGTATTCTTTAGTCATTGGTACGAACCAAGTAAATCTACGTCTAGGGCTTGACCTCGTCAAAATTATCGTCGATTGTCATTCCCCAGCCGTCTTCGACGCCGTTTTTTTGGTATTTATGGTATTTTATATCGTTTGTAGTGTTTAATTATATGATACAACCCAATTTTCCCGATCCTAGTGGAGTATGTAATCCAGAATTGAGACTGAAAGGCCATGAGAAGGGGGGTTTTGGATTATCTTGGAACATGATTTTCGAAGGCAAGTTATTATCAGCTAGTGCGGATCAGACAGTTTGTATGTGGGATATCAATGCCACACCAGGAGGAAACAGAGTTATCAACGCACATAGCATTTTCAGAGGTATTTATTCATTTTGTATCGAGGGTATTTTATAGGTGGCCCGAACTGTACAGGGTGTCCCACTAAGAATAGCTCTCGGCTGTATCTCGGAAAGTATTGGTCGTAGAGCTTGCGGAAAAAAATATTTACAACTAAAGAGAGCATGAAAAATTGCTGGAAATTATTTTCAAGTTTGTATAGCGGCCGCTAGAGGGCGCAACTGCTATTAAAAATAAGAAAATGGAGTTTTTACACAATTTTGCCTAGATAAGGGCACTGCCGTTCTTTAAAAGATCAGCCTGGGGGCGGACTTTTGTTTACTTCATCAGCTGTACATACTTAGATATTGGGTTAGATTCCGTTTCATATTTTGTCGGTTGATTTTTGGTTTTAACTCTTTGATTTTTGGTATTATTTATTATTGTAGTGCAAAAAACTAATTATTTTGGTGTTTAAGTGACATAAACTACTACCAGATATATGGTCACTCTCGGTTTCGCATAAAAAAATAGAAAAATTACACGTTGTGTAAGTGATTTAACCTAAAAGTGCCCATACATTTTTTACTTATCGTGATTTTTGTGTGTTTTTTAAGACTCTAACAATTCATCAATAAAGCTTAAGTGGAGTGTGTTTTTGGTGCTATGCCTCATCTTTGTTGTGTTCCTGGTGGAAAGGATAGTTATACTAGGCAGCCTAAAGTGTCCGGAAGAGCAAGAAAAGTGGGTACGAGTTATAAATCAAGAGAATTCTATTGAAAATATCTTTAATAAATTTAAAAATAATATTCTCCCATGATGGTATTAATGAAAACTGGACAATTATGTTTATTTTATTCATATTGTGGAATCTCCACTCCAAGTGTTGTTGGTTCAGCTTCGATAGATTCAAACACGTAAGTTGGTATTATGATCTAGGGAAAAATAAAGAATATGTGTATTAAAGATCATGAAAAAGATTATTATTTTGAGTTCAAATTTTAAAAAAGATTATTGTAAAGACAAGACTGATACAGTTTAAAAGAAGAATGTGTTTTTGTTTGATAATATATAATGTATGTCAAGCATAACATATATTTGTTCAGTAATTTTTAATGAATAGTGTTGATTATTTATATCAAATTAATATCAAATATTTAAGTGATGGCTGAATACAATATGAATAAAATATCAATAAAATTGGTATATTTGCATAATACAAAATTAAGTTTTAAGAATAAAGGTGTTACTAAAAATTCTAAGAAATTCATATTTCTTTGTTTTAATTGGTCTAATGTTATTTACATTTTATGTAAGAATTATACCGTATCATCGAAAAAAATCGGCGTCTAGTTGGCTTGGAAATGAACATCGATGACATTCCCTAAATAACTGTACACAAAATAATTAACTAGAATTTTACAATCTTGGAAAATTTGATATTCTTGAACCTTGTTTCTAAATATTCTAAATTTTTTGATTTTCTTGGGATTTAGGTTCGGGAAAAACGCTGATTAAGTTTTCATTTGGTTTTCCATTATTTTTATTTGGTTTAAAAAAAACGTTTCGGCTAACATTATAGCCTTCATCAGTGTTGTATCATATGAAAAAAATAGTGTCGAATATAATCCAAAAAATTACATAAAAATATTCACACCACACACATAATGTTTACTGCGTACTCCATAGTCAATGTAGATAATTTTAGTGTTAAGAATAATAATTTTAAAAAATATGTAGTCATCTTTTGATAAGTTTATATTAGTTTATTAATTGCAGTAAACATTATGAGGTGTGAATTATATTGTATATGTAATTTTTTGGATTATATTCGACACTATTTTTCTCATATGACACAACACTGATGAAGGCTATAGTTAGCCGAAACGTTTTTTTAAACCAAATAAAAACAATGAAAACAAAAATGAAAAACTTAAATCAGCGTTTTTCCCTGAACCTAAAATCCCAAGAAAATCAAAAATTTTAGAATAATTTTACATATAAAATGCCAGCGATCTTCATTTCATAGCCATCACTGACGCCTTTTTTTAGATAATATTGTATTATTTGTAAATATAATTTTTCGAACATTGATACTTGATTGAAATATACATATAAATTTTGTGAATGCAAATAATAATACATCACTATTAGTAGATATTGTATTGTAATGTTTTTTGTTAAATTAGATCGATTTTCAAACCCCAAAATTTTAAATATATTTACATTTTACCCATTATCTTATGTACCTATACATTATTTGTACATTGTAAAACATTTGCTGCATTTGTATGGTTCATAGTTTATTTGCCAAAGTATTTATTACTATAAATAGGTATATATGTTGTAGTTATTAACTGTATATTATGTATATTTCATGTAAACTATATCATTTTTAAAATACAAACCAAAAATCTGAGGAATAATTATGCTTTCCATGTATTCTACAACATTTTTATTAATCCGTTATATCTAACTAGCGTGACGTCATAAATCTCGCCCGTAGGCTGATCTTTTAATAGAAGGCACTGATAAGGGGTACTATAAATAATAGCTTCATAATCTTCAGTAAATTCTGAATATTTTTTGTTTGAACCAATTTCCCCTATCAACCAAAATAAAGTGGTGGGGGAAGGTTAGATCTGTTTTTATTTAAATATTAATAACTCCGGACTGGATGGACGGAATTTAACAAACGGGAGCTCGTTTAAAAGAGCGTTTCTTACTCTATATTATACCATATAAACAATAACAATAAGCTTTTGAACGTAGACGCTTGGGGGCGCTGTCTTGCATTTTAACAAACATTGCGTGTTTTTTCAAAAAAATCAAATGCGATGGTATATGTAATTTTAGCAGATAGTAAAGAGTAATCAAAGCTTAAAAAATCAGTGGAAACCGCATCTTGATATCTTTTTTCAGACCAAAGTTATTTGCAAAATTATAATTAATACGAAAAAATAGGCCCTTAATTACCTTACTTTTTTTTAACACGGTTACAGTAGCCCTTTTGATTCTGACCATTCTAATAAAAAATAAGATAGAAACGATTAGTTTATTCTTAAATTGATAATATACCAGAATACGATAATACCAGATGTATTAATATCTAATAATTAAGATATCAATGACAGTGATTAAGAAAACGACGCCACAGTGAAGTCATGGTAGGCTTTGGAAAAAAGATGCTTTTGACGTAATTATATAAACGTCCAAGAGTTATTAAATCAACATTTTGATAGTCTTTTTTTCTCTTTTGAAGAAAGGCATTTTTAGAAAAGCAATCGAAAGATAAAAAACGCTTCTGAGACTATCAAATTGTTGATATAATAATATTTTGAGTTTAAACTATCTCTTTAAAAGCAACTTTTTTCCAAAGCCTACCATGAATTCACTGAGGCGTCGTTTCTTAGTCACTTTCATTGATATCTTCATAATTAGATATTATTCCACCTAGTATTATGGTATTCTAGTACATTGTCGATCTTTTGAATGAAATAATATTTTCTATCTTTTTTTTTATTAGAATGGTCATAATCAAGAGGGCTAGGGATACCGCGTTAGAAAGATAAGGTAATTAAGGGCTTATTTTTTCGCATTTATTATAATTTTGCTAATAACTTTGGTTTGAAAAAAGATATCAAGTTGCGGTTTTCGCTGAATTTTTAAACATTTATTACTCTTTAATATCAGCTAAAATTGTAATGTCCATTGTAAAATGTCCAAAAGTTGTCTTATTTTAGTCTTTAGCCGTTAAGATCTAATTAAGATATAAAAAAGACGTCTTTAAGATATTATGTGCTGTCTGGGAATAAACTAAAAAAACTGATGGCTTTTTCTAAACAGATATTTTGTCTCTCCAGGTCATACAAATACTGTCGCAGATGTGGCTTGGCATCCACAATTAGTTCATCTGTTTGGAACGGTGGGTTTTGATGAAAAATGGATGATGTGGGATTCCAGATGCAGTCCTAAAAGTATTCTCTCAATTCGTGCTCACTCAGCGGGAGTCACCTGTATAGACTTTCATCCATGTCACGACTATCGTTTGGTAACAGGTAGATATTTATAGGGTCTTTCAAAACAACTTTCACAGTGTTCAGATTTAGTAAAGTGATGTTGAAAGTCTACGTATAGGCTTGGTGCATTCTCCGCCGGTGCTGCCACCATCGGAGAATATCGTAAACAACTAGTATATACAAATACACGGGTTTATATAGCGAGTATACAAAAAAATATTATATATAGTTATTCTAAAAGTGTTAGAAAGTATAATTTGTGAAAATTTTAAACACACAGTTCTGACAGTTCTACCGAAGTGGTCCAGAATTAGTAGTCGTAAACAAACCAATTGTTTTCATTAGTTTCGCAACAAATCTGTGTTTTTTACGCGTTTCTATGCTAATAAAATTATACTAAATAATTTTGAGTGAATAGTGAACTATCTAGATCCGATTCATAACATCGTACCCGCGAAAAACACCATACTTTCGGTTAAAATTATAGTAACACCGGCGATGCCGGCTGTGTGTCCGGGCTAGGAAAAAGTTGGGGAATTTACATAAAAACATAATTAATAGGCGTTAGTGTTAGTGTATAGTGTTAAACCAACCTAACTGACGTGTATTTGTATGTAAAACAGTTTTCGTTTCTTTATTTTTACTTTGTGAAATAAAAAATTCCGCGACATTGTTCTGTGCCTGTGCCTTGTAGCAGCAATTATAATAAGTCCTCAGGATCTGTCTACATTTTCTTTCCAAAAATATTAACTGTAACTAGGTCACGTCCAAAACCTATAAAACATGCTGTGCCTACAATTTTTCCAAATCAACCCTCTTATGGACCCTTTGTGCATGTTCCCATAAAGAGAAAACGTCCCGATGAAAGAAAACATTTTGGAAATTCAGGATGAAATAAATAAATATTGAAAAGTAATAAACAGATTTGGAAATTCAGGATGAAATAAATATTGAAAAGTATTATTATTATTATGAAATGGCAATATATTTTAAAGAAATTAAATGAATTTGTACTTTATTTCAGTATTTTATATAAAAATAAATTATATATTTATCTTTTTATTTACGATTTAGGGAGATGGTTACTTGATGAACATCGAACTAAAAATTACTTAATGTTAATAGTTAATTCTATCTGATATCCACATTTTTTAAATATGTTAGGCAAATTTTTACAATTATTTTTAATTAAACTTTAAAATGTATTCTGCCGTTATCATATACAATACATTTTCTTAACTTGTCGATAAACGTATAGTTTTCAAATTTTTTGATATTTGGAAACTTTTTATCACAGGTATATTATTACTAGTTGCTAAATACTCGCTAACGCAATTTTAGGACACGCTTTTTATTATCTAGATTTTATTTTGTTCATCTTATGCTGTAGTTTATTTCACATTAATATTCGTGCTTTAGATCTAAATTTTAATGCTATTCAATTACTTTAACGCGATAAAAATTTAATGTTATTTTTTAATACCTTTCTGTATAATATTTTTCATATTTATATCTGGCAAAACTATCAATAAATACTATTATTTAAGCAAAACCTATATGCAGTACCATATGGCACAATACAAAAGCCGGACTAGTGCGGTGACGTCACAAATCGATGTCTCTGGCCTGACTGTCATGTTGGTCATGGGTCTAACTTGTATTATAATTTATTATTTCAGCTAAAAAAACTTTTTAGATAAGTTCAACTACGGTAGCGCGCATAGTTTTAATCACCGGTTTTGCTAGTGGGGTATAATTGGGGCTATTTCGGCTACAACGAATTTTTAAAACATTTTAAATTATATTTTATCCTCTCATAGTATATGTCTATTTAATATTTTGATTATGTAACGAGCACTTTACCTACTCATTTCTTTCGCCGAACTGCTTGAATCCATTTTTGCTTCTGATTAGATCGGTCTGAAACGTTGTGAAGCTATAAAATGTTGTTTCGGGAGAGTTGAATATCCGGGAAAGTTGAGTTATTGAATGTTGTTGCACCCAACAACGCCCTCATTACGCTCTCCTTTACTCGTTTACATTTTTTCGGCAATTTTATTAACATTTGAAATTGTCACAACACAACACGACGCCTAGTTCGAATTCTTTTTCACTTATTTTTTACTACCCGAAACAGCGTTACATCACACAAACCTCGTACCTGAGTGTTTTATAGTTTCAATCACTGTCGCACTATTAAAAACTAAAATACTTAAATATTATGACAGAGCCACGATTTCAATATTATTTCAATGCGATCAATACCGGAATTGCGTGAAATACTGAGCCGAAAACTTGTGATTTCTGCCGTACCGAGCGCTGCTGTCGGAATTTTTAAAATCAACCGAAATGCACCGAGCCTATAGAAAATTAAAAATAAAATGTATTTACGTGTGTATTTCTAATAAATTTAGGATCAGCCGATAAAACTGTAGGTCTCTGGGATTTGAGGATGCCTTCCTTGAAAGTGCATAGTTTAGGTCCAGGGTGCCATACGGCAGCAGTCTCCCAAGTGCACTGGTCGCCTCATTGCAAAGAGGTTCTAGCATCGTCAGACATAGATGGAGGCATTTATATATGGAATATAGATAAAATAGGTTAGAACCTACCTTATTTCAATATACAGTAGGGTGGCGCCCCAAGCAGCATTTGGACATCGGGACAACGTTGTGTCACGCGACCAAACGTCGGGGTGCAACGGCGGCACAACCTCGTGCCAACCCTAGTCTGCACTAGTTTGGAGAATAATTTTTGGGTCGAAACGACGTTGGAAACCAACGTTGGCTAGAAGCCTAATTTAGTACAAACTGCAACGTTGTTTAAAATCCTAATTCACAGAAATACAAAACTAATATGGCGTCTAAGTCGCGTTTTATCCTAAATTGGGATAATTATAGTAAAAATATTATTTTTATGATTTAGTTTGAGACATATGTCAGATGGCAGTGAAGGAAAACAAAACAAAAGTATTTAAGTGTGGAGGATGTTTGAAGATCATAATTATTGAAACACTTTAACCGACTCTGTAACTCGTTACCCAAGGCAAAAAAGTTAAACGCAAACAACTTTATTGATAAATGTATTGTTTCTACTTTGAAAAATACTAATGGGCCTTAAAATTAAAGAAGTTTTAAAAATTTTCTTGAATTATTCGCAGTCGAAAAAATTGTTTCCGCGTGTTTTTTAGGGTCAAATATTTCAAGTTAATGTATTCAAAAAGCAGGAATTGCTATTTTAGGAACGAAACATTTTCTTATTTAACATCATGGCGGCTTTCACTTTGTTGTTTTGGAGATTAAGATGGAGTAGTTCGAGTAGTCGCATACTGGACTAATAAAGTCGTAACAGGTAGTATATACTAGTCCCGAGTTTGCCTAATTTAGTCATCCTAGAGTCTAGCTTGTGCCGCCCTCTATAATCTAAATAAACGAGGGAGTGGATAAACTATCGGTAAAATATGTCGATGTATATTTAAATTTAGTTCTATATGTACCTTTCTTATGTCCCATTTTAATTAATTTTTTTTTTTATAAAAACAAAAACAGCACTGAACTGTCTGACTGAACAGAACAATGAAGTGAAAATTTAAGATTTAAGGTTATGGTTCAATACAGTTGCAAAAAGGTAGTGACTCGACGTCCTACCAACGTAAGAATAAGGAAATCTAAACAACGTTGGAATTAGTAAAACAGACGACGTTTGCATAACGTTGGAATAGGTCCTGAAACTGACGTCGGAAAACTCTATATTGTCCAACGTTGTAACTACGTTGTCCGAATCACCTAAAGATCACTTAAGCAAAAAAGGTTACAAGACAACGTTTATTCGACGTCGCAGAAGCTTCTACTTTGCTGTAGTACTAGTCCAACGTCGGCACAACGTTATAAAAACGTTTAAATTTATTTTAATACCTAAGGTGGGGAATTTAACTATTTTTTGTAATTAATCCAACGTTGTGTTTAGTAAACATGTGGTCGCAAGTCGTGAAAATGCTACTTGGGGCGATCTTCATTCCATAGCCATCGCTGACGCCGTTTTTTCTCGATCATACGGTATAAGTTAATATCTTTATAATTCATTAGGAACAATACCCGAAGAGGATCGAGATGCTCCACCCGAATTTGTGGATTGTCACTCAGGACCTTGGCAAAAAGTAAACGGTAAGATCGGGGATATACAGTGTTACAAATTGGTAAAATTTAATTAATATTCAGGGTCCGGCAAGAGTACCTTATTGGGCATCTGTAGCTCCTATATATAGAATAAAAAAAACTGGGGAATTTTGTTTATGTGTAAACCTAAAGTTAGTACTTGGATGAATTTCAGGAAAATATTTTAACTTCTTAGGGTGGCTCAAAAAAGTGTGAGTGGATCGGGATGGGTTTTTGAAATGGGACACCCTGTATATTATTGAATTTTTGACTTCCTTTCAGATCGCTTTACATAATCCTAAGATATGAGTAAATATATTTCGATAGTTTCAGAGATATTAATACATATTTTAAACAAATATATTTTTCAGCATTTCTTAATTCTTTAATTTCTTTGGTCTGTACTTATTTTGCTATAAATATGTCTTGCTTTGCGAAGTTTTGGCAATGTTCCAGCAATAAATTTTGCTTGTCGGGCAGGGTGTTCCGTTTAAAAAATATCATCCCGATTCACTCACACTTTTTAATATTTTCCTACAATTAATTTTCGATACTTAACAATGTATTTTTAATAGATTTCAGTTGGAATCCAAACACACCCAGTGTAATATGCCAGGTATCTGAAGAAAATATAGTGGAGGTCTTTCATTCTTATTCTCTTAAACAGTACGTCTCTGCTCGGTATGGTTATAACCCTTGTGTTAACTTTCTTGATTTACTTAACTCTGGCAGCACAATTTCAGAAAATTCAGTTCCGTCAAATAATATTCAACATAATCCTATTTCTTCAACAGCGCATCAGTTTTAGATATTATACCTTTAAAGTCGTGAACTTTTTCAAAATATAATTATTGTAAAAAAAATATACTGATATACAGGGTGGCCCCAACTGTATTCCGGAAAATTAAAAAATAAAAAAATAAAAGTAAAAAAGTTCGTATAAATGTATGTCCTACAATGCTTAGTTTCGGAGATACAGGGTGTAGAAGTTTCATTTTTATTTTCATTTTTTCCAAATAATTTCTAAAGTAACGTCAATATTTGAATGAAAAATGGCGTCTGGGAGTTTTTTGACATGAGAAATTTGATTTTGATGTCCATATGACTCCTACTTGTAGAGAGCGCCACCTACATATTTTTTAACTTGTTTAAAGAGCAATAACTTTTCGGCCGTACCTGTATAAAGCTACTGGATGAAAAAATATACATTCACGACGTTTTTTACGTAAAAAAGATCCCTTGGTAAAAATCGCTACGAGTAATGGTTCTCGAGGTATTTGGAATCGAAATGATCAATACCTGTGGTCATTGACTAAATAATTATTGAACTGAAATTATAAAATTGAAATGTTTTTGTCTAAAGTTCAACAGAAACTTTTTTATTATCATTTTTTCAAAGAAAAATTTATAATTATCATTTAAAAAAATAAAAAGTTCCCAAATTAACTATTTCAATCAAATAACTATATATCTTCTCGACATGTTTATTTTTTGTCAACAATGACATGTATTGACTATTTCTATTCTAAATATCTCGAAAATGGTTGCTCGTAGCCATTTTTACCAAGAGATATTTTTTACGTAAAAAATCACGAAAATGCATATTTTTTCACTCAGTAGTTTTATACAGGTACGGACGAAAAGTTATTACTCTTCAAACTAGTTAAAACAAAGTTAAAACACATGTAGATGGCGCCCCCTGCAAATAGAAGTCATATTGACATCAAAATCAAATTTCTCATGTCCAAAAACTTCCAGACACCAATTTTCATCTAAATATTGACGTTACTTCAGAAATTATTTGGAAAAAATCGAAATAAAAATGAAACTTCTACACCCTGTATCTCCGAAACTAAACATTTTAAAAGATACATTTATACGAACTTTTTTACTTATTTTTACTCTTTAATACAGTTCGGGCCACCCTGTATACGTTCTGTAACTTTAATAATATAGCTTCTTGTTTATCCTTTATGTTACTATTGTCTATGTTAGTATGTTTTACTAATTTTGTATTTTTTGCTGTAATGTATTCAGTGTTTTTAGTAATTTTTGACATTTTATTAGACCTATTTACATTTTTTATTATTGTATTTTAAACTGAAGTGTGTATATTATAAGAAATATAAGAGACAGTTGCTTTTAAAATGTGTTTTTTTTTTATTTTTTATAAGATACCAACCATAAAGATTTGTTAAAGGATTTGTTTGTCAAAAGATCCGTCATTCAACGTTGTCCGTCAGTTGAATATTCAATGTTGAAAAAATTCAATATTATTAAAAATCACTAACCAGAAGAGTCTGACCAAGTTCATGATGGGTTCATGTCATGACGACATAAAAGGGTGTCTAGGGCTTTATTATCTACAAAGGTTGCCTTTTAACCAAGTATCCAAACTTAACCGAAAGAAAATCCCTAGACAGAAGAAAATAAATTTAAACTTTAATTTAATATATGTTATAAACTGATATTAATAAAATTTATAACTACAAAAAGAAATTGTTATTTTTCTTGTTTTTAAAAAATGTTACCTAACTTATTTATTTTTAAAAATTAGTTTTTTAAAGAAGCAGTAGCCATATTGATTTTACGAAAATTTACGTTGGCTATATTGTCTGAATTTGTTTGGCGGGACGTTCTACAAAAAAAAAATATTTTATTTAAAGTGATTTAAAGGCGTTTAAAGCGACTTTATTATATGATATAAGTCAGTTAAAGATATACTTCAGTAAAAAATGGGAAGTTTAGGAGATAAAGGAGGAGATACTGCAGGTTTGTTTGTCTAAAATTTTTGAGTTTTCTGTGCAAACATCTAGTTTTTTGTTTAGAAACCTTCGACGATGCTGTCGAAGAACGTGTTATTAACGAAGAATACAAGATATGGAAGCGAAACACGCCCTTTCTGTACGATTTGGTCATGACCCACGCCTTAGAATGGCCCTCATTAACAGCCCAATGGTTACCTGATGTTACACGTCCCGAAGGAAAGGACCATTCACTGCACAGATTGATTTTGGGTACTCATACAAGCGATGAGCAGAATCATTTGTTAATTGCCAGGTAATTTAGGGAGTTTGTACTGTTTAACGGCTGTATTAAGTGCTGTTATATATCAATTTCAGTGTGCAATTACCAAATGAAGATGCCCAGTTTGATGCATCCCATTACGACAATGAAAAAGGAGAATTTGGAGGCTTTGGTTCTGTTTCTGGAAAGATCGAGATCGAAATTAAAATCAACCACGAAGGAGAAGTGAATAGAGCCAGATATATGCCCCAGAATCCATGTGTTATAGCCACTAAAACACCATCAAGTGATGTTTTAGGTATGTCATCAATTTTTTATATTTTAATAGTGTTTAAATTGTGTTTAATAACATTTTAGTGTTTGATTACACCAAGCACCCTTCTAAACCTGATCCCAGTGGAGAATGTCATCCGGATTTGAGACTGAGAGGCCATCAAAAAGAGGGTTACGGATTGTCTTGGAACCCGAATCTTAACGGATATTTATTGTCAGCTAGCGACGATCATACTATTTGTTTGTGGGATATTAATGCCACACCAAAAGAGAATAGAGTTATTGACGCTAAAACGATTTTCACAGGTTGTAAGGCCTTCACTCTCAAAGTATTTAACAAAATAGTAAAGTTATTTTGTATATTCAGGTCACACAGCTGTTGTTGAAGATGTGGCTTGGCATTTACTGCACGAAAGTCTGTTTGGTTCAGTTGCCGATGATCAAAAATTGATGGTTTGGGATACAAGATGCAACAATACCAGTAAACCATCTCATACAGTCGATGCTCACACTGCAGAAGTAAACTGTTTAAGTTTTAACCCATATTCAGAGTTTATCTTGGCAACAGGTACTAAAAATTTGAAACAACTTTAATAAAAACTATTTAAAAATATATATTTTTAGGTTCAGCTGATAAAACTGTAGCTCTGTGGGATTTGAGGAACCTCAAACTGAAATTGCACAGTTTTGAGTCACATAAAGATGAGATTTTCCAAGTCCAATGGTCACCACATAACGAAACTATTTTGGCATCGTCGGGAACAGATAGGAGGCTCCATGTTTGGGATTTAAGCAAAATAGGTATTTATTTTCTATAAATTGTTGTTTATATAAACTAATTTTAATTAAATTATGTATTAGGTGAAGAACAAAGTGCAGAGGATGCAGAAGATGGTCCACCTGAATTGCTCTTTATTCATGGAGGACACACAGCTAAAATATCCGGTAAGATACAGTAAAAAGTTTTTTTTTTGATACTTAACGATGTATTTTTAATAGATTTTAGTTGGAATCCGAACGAGCCATGGGTAATTTGCTCGGTATCTGAGGATAACATAATGCAAGTGTGGCAAATGGCTGAAAACATTTACAACGATGAGGAACCGGAACAGCACACTTCAGATCCCGAAACGCCAGCTCCATAAATCACAATTATTAATAATACACATATTTATTATCATTGTACGAATCTTGAATTCCATTTTAGTTGTAATTTTACTTATGTTTAAGCAAATGAATAAACCGTTTCTACTACAACTAGCAAAAAGAGTATATTTTTTAATATTGTAGGGCTGCTGAGATTGAAACGAGTCCATCTAAAGCGTCGTCTACACCTAAAGTTTTACCTGTCGGTTAAGATGGATTAAAAACTCAAATATCATATACGCTGGAAGTTTAGCTGCGGTTTTATCAATAATTATAGAATTCTGATTAGTGAGTTTTTTTACTACAAATCTGAATTTTTTTAAGTTGATTTCTATAGAGTTGCTTAAAAGAGTGTGAGTGTTAGGATGTTTTTTTTAAATGGAACACCCTGTATATTATTGCATTTTTGACTTCCTTTCTGATCACTTTGTGTAATACTAAGGTATTAAATATGTGTTGATAGTTTCAAAGATAAATAAATAAAAAATATATATTTTTCAGCCTTTATAAAAAAAATAATAAAAAAAATATTACAAATACAAGAAGTGCACTAAAATAAAAACTATACGAGGTATTTACTGTAATTGGTCTGTACCGACTTTGCTATAAATATCGTAATCTTAGATCAAACGTGTTCAAAATTCTACGCCAAATTTTCTAAAATAAAAATAAATTTTCTTCGTTTGTTAAATGGAAAACCCTGTATATTATTTTTTTCTTAGATGGAGTATTAAAAAATGAACATTTTTTGTATTTAAAGTATTTCAAAATTTTGAAGAGTTTCGCAGATATTCGCGGTAATATATATTACAAATGGCTTTTTCAATATTATTTTTTTTATCAAAACCACCTAATGATGTTTGCGTGGTGTTTTACCGTTGAAAGAGCTTTTTTTTTAATTTCCCATCTAACAAAAAATAATCTACAGGGTGGTCTACTGAAAAAAAAACAAGAAAAATTATTTTATATTTTCGAAAGTTTGGCATAGAATTTTGAACACCCTGTTTGATTTAAGATTACGATATTTTTAATAAAGTAAGTCCAGACCAAGTGTAGTACGTACTTAGCATAGTTGTGACTTAGCACGTTATTAGCGGGTGTTGCGTTAAAAATTGACTCGCGCATATCGTAACCTTAATCGTAACCGTGATAAGGTACGCGTAAATACTGGATGACGCTATTCGGTTTTCCGATATCTCTCTAATAACTGTGCCGGTCAGGCGCTGTGCACAATTTTAGAGGCCATAAGTGGGCGTGCTATGTGCGCAAACAAGTCACCTAACTAGTGCCCGATTCCGAAAATTGGAACTACGAAAAACAATAAAGAAAAAACAAAGATTATAATCTGAATAGAGAGATATCGCTAAACCGAATAGCGCGCATGGACGTTAATAAGGCCAGGTGTTATTTCCTTTACGTGAGGTGGTATTAACTCTCTTCATTTATAGTTATCGGATTGGAAAGAATTCTGTTCGCGTCGCGTCCGCTATTTAAACTTAACCTAACTTTGAATTTAAAACTTTGAAATTGTTTTGTTTACTAGGTATTTTAAAACTAAAGGGCTAAAGTGCTTATTTCCAGTGCTTTATTGTTGAACGTCCGCCAATGGGTTTAGGACAACAAGCAACAAATTCTCTTAGAAGGGCTAAGTCGTCATCTGCTGTAAACCTAATAAGACTCTTTATAGGTTCTTTAGTATTGGAAGAGGTGGAATCCATATTTTGGGCCATATTTAAATATCAAATTACCTAATAAAACTAAAGCAATAATTCAAAACAATTCAAACATAACCTAAAATAAAAGATCTCGCCGGCCGGCTCCGATTGTCAAATACCCGCACATGCCCATTTAAGCAATTTTTAAACGTTATCAGAGGTTATTTAGAAAGAGTGCTTGGTGTAATTGATCCGCAAATTACGTCAGGCCGTAACGTTATTAGCGGGTGTTGCGTTGACTCGCGCATATCGCATATCGTAACCATGATAAGGTACGCGTAAATACTGGATGACGCTATTCGGTTTTCCGATATCTCTCTAATAACTGTGCCGGTCAGGCGCTGTGCGCTGTGCACAATTAGAGGCCATAAGTGGGCGTGCTATGTGCGCAAACTAGTCACCTAACTAGTGCCCGATTCCGAAAATTGGAACCACGAAAAACAATAAAGAAAAAACAATGTTTATAATCTGTATAATCTGTGATGTAAATAAGTGATCAAGAAGAAAGCAAAAAATGCAATAATATACAGGGTGTTCCATTTAAAAAAAATCATCCTGATCCGCTCACACTTTTTTGAGTCACCCTGTAGAAGTTAAAATATTTTCCTGAAATAGTACATATTACTTTAGGCACAGAATATTTTTGTTCTGTGCTTTAAAAATGCACTTATTACACAAAATTCTTAAGTTCTTTTTTATAGGACCTACAAATGCCCGCGACGCATTTTTGCTGCATGGACCCTGTATATTGTTTATAAATACAAATTCTTTTAAACAACTTATTAAAATATTATGAGGCCGTATTTGAATGCGAATAAACAATAAACAGATTAATATTAATTCAATAGATTTACAAACATTTGAAAATGTTATATCTATCTTCATAGTTGTCAGTTAAAAACAAGTTTTCTAATTATTTTAATAAACTAGTAACAATATATTTGCATAACAAGCTTTTGAACGGTATATAAAAACATGGGAAATTTACTTCAAGAATTTATTTTGTTTTTATTTTATTGTAATGCGTTTCAGAGATACTTTTAAACATGGCTTTAAAGGTATTTATTTTTAAAATATATTTTTTTTATAAAATACTGTGATTTTGTGTGTGATATTTTATAGTATTTGAGTGGATTTGGTAACGAATTCTCCTCAGAAGATCCCAGATGTCCAAATTCATTGCCAAAAGATCAGAACAATCCCCAAAAATGCCCTTACAATCTCTACGCAGAACAACTTTCAGGGAGTGCTTTCACAGCGCCTAGAACTCAAAATTTGTAATTTTTTAACGTTTTTGCAGTGATAAAAAGACGAATTATAGTTTTTAATTTTGTTTTAGACGTACATGGCTGTATAGAATCCTACCATCAGTTGGGCATCAACCATTTAAAAAGTTTCACGGGTCCAATCTAACTCACGATTGGTCAGAGCAGGAACCAGATCCAAATCAAGTAAGTCATGGCTGTTTTTCTTTAATTTTATGTACAGAGAAACGGGATATTTGCGACAAAAATCTGTTTGGGAGGTTTTTCAGAATATTTGGTCACTCTGTAGATATCAAATTATTAAAAAAACGTTTTTATTCAAGTAAATTATTAACTTTTAGATGAGATGGAAGCCTTTTGATGTGCCCAAGCCAGTGGACCAAGTGGATTTTGTTCAAGGCTTGAGCACAATATGTGGTGCTGGTGATCCCAAACTAAAAAACGGCTTGGCCGTTCATGTTTACAGTTGTAATGCTTCAATGAAGAACAGAGCATTCTATAATGCTGATGGCGACTTTCTAATAGGTAAAATCTTTCTTATTTTTATATTTTACGATTTAGTCAGTGTTGAATACTATTTATTTCATTATAAATATACAGGGTTAATCTCAAATAGACTCAGAAACACGCCTACGACTTTTTTCTGCGAAAAAATCTAGAAAATTTTGTGTTTTTGGAATTTTTAATTATAATTTATACATGGGCGCCGGACAGGGGGGGGGCAAGAGGGGGCATTTGCCCCCCCCCCCCCCTGGATCACTGAAACAATAAAAATAAAAGCTATATCTTCTTACATCCATCTGTAAAAAAATAATCATTATTATGAAATTGTTAGGTGTTACCTGTAAAAAATAAAAATGTGGTAATTATTGGGAAAACTGGAAATCGTCCGATTTTTCACCAAAATTAGTATACACACTATTTTGAGGTCGTAGATTACGAATCTACTTTTTCTTGGCGGTCTCTTACCGTTTTCAAAAAACGGAAAATTATTTCAACATTGAATTTTTCTTTATTTCGGCCCTATAAAGTAATAATTTCACTATATTTTCATTATATTATAGTTTATCTAAAAGCTACACTTGATTGGGGATAGAAAAGTGTCCAACATTTTACTGAAAAACACTTTTCTTAACAAAATAGCAAAGAAAATTGAGACCAGATGGAAGTTTGACATTTGATATATCCTTCTTTCTCTCTCCTATGTAATAAGAGAGACAAATATATTCTAGACCTAATCTAGAAATTTTAAAATTTACAACGTTGCCATATCTTCTATTTTTCGGGTGATTAGGGATTTTAAATAAATTACCTATTTCGACAATAAGAGATCGACAATAATTAAATATACACCTATATCCAAAAATTACGCGGAAGAGTTTTGATTGCATTGGTTTTAACTTCTTTGCGGAGGGGGCTAATCTTTTTTTAGTTAATCTAATAATATAACAACAAAAGATTAACACCCTCTGCATGGAAGTTGTAACTAATGCAATCAAAACTCTTTCGTGCAACTTCGTGGCTATAAATAGTCAGATCTCGTTGGTAAAATAGCAGTTATGGGAAGGAGCCGTTCTTCTGGCGACCGCGACCGCCTTTCGTAATTCCAGAATGAGCGAAAAAACACGCTAAATTTAGGATTAGCATTGGCAACGTTGCTTTAAATGCCAGAAACACATAAGCTTACTTCGGGCTTCTCTTATTACCGATTCTGAACCGTCCTAGAACTGTGATGCGTATGCGCAGAAGGAAATATGAAGATATTATTTCATTTGCGCATGCGCTGCAGAGTTCTTGGACGGTTCAGAAAATCGGTAATACTCTTAGAACCCGAACAAAGCTATAACCTAACATTTTCAGATTGTTTACAAATTTATTTTAGCAAATTTTCCTCTATTATGCATAGAATTGGTTAAAAAAGTAACAGAAAATAGCAAAAACATTATTGATTATTGAATACCTAACAAAATATGTGTAAGAAAACCTTAAAAATATGAGAAATTAAGAAAAATTCGAAATAATTATCGAAATTATTTTCCGTTTTTCTGAAAAACGGTAAGAGACCGCCAAGAAAAAAGTTCAGATTCGTAATCTACGACTTCAAAATAGGGTGTGTATACCAATTTTGGTGAAAATCGGACGATTTCCAGTTTTCCCAATAATTACCAAAAATGTCAATTTTTTATTCATTTTTACCTTGCCCCCCCCTAAATTTCATTCTTCCGGCGCCCATGAATTTATAAATATTTGTTTTTATTGACAGTACCACAACTGGAGGCCCTTGTTATAATAACAGAACTTGGAAAAATTGAAGTGGCACCCAACGAAATATGTGTGATTCCCCAAGGAATTAAATTTTCAGTTGATGTTTCCAAGCCATCCAGAGGCTACATTTTGGAAGTTTTTGGAAGACATTTTACTTTGCCAGACTTGGGACCGATTGGAGCCAACGGTTTAGCTGATCCCAGGCATTTTCTGACCCCAGTAGCTTGGTAAAATTATAACAAACCTACACAGAGTGATTAATGATTCTGAAAAAGCTTCATATCAATTTTTTTTTAAATACATGGAGCTTTTTAAGCAAACTGGACCATCCTGTATATGATAATATCCTTTTTTGTACAGGTATGAATTAAGAGAGGATATTTCTTACGAAATAGTAAATAAATATCAAGGAAAGTTGTTTGTCTGCACTCAGAATCACAGTCCTTTTGATGTGGTTGCTTGGCATGGAAATTACGTACCTTACAAGTACGACCTAAGTAAATTTATGGTGATAAATTCAGTGTCGTTTGATCACTGTGTAAGTATTTTGACTCAAAGATATGATAAAATTTAATTTTATCATAACTAAAATCTATATTTTGGTTATTTTATAGGATCCTTCGATTTTCACTGTGCTGACTTGTCAATCAGAAAAACCCGGAACTGCCATAGCTGATTTCGTTATATTTCCACCAAGATGGTCAGTACAAGAACACACGTTTAGACCACCATATTATCACAGGAACTGTATGTCTGAGTTTATGGGACTAATCACTGGAGAATATGAGGTAAAATCACAGATAACACATAATCCAGATGGCCATTGCTTACGGAACAGCATGTTTTCGATGAGACAGTTCCCTATTAATGACACAGAGGGCGCCTATAGCCAAATCTAATAATATTTTTAAAACGAACGAATTTCGAGCCACACCACGGCCACGCGATGTGAAGCGACGTAGCCGGTTGTTCATATTTATAAGCAAATTCCCGGTCAAACCCAGGAAAATGTATATTCGGACTTTAATACTATACAATTGGATATGAAAATACTAGTCGCAGTGGATGTTTGAAAGTCAGAATTTCTAGATGAATATATATGCTATTTATAGCCATGAAATTTATAATTTAGATTTTATTCTTATTATTTGTCTCTTAATATTCATTAGCTGAAAATAAGGGTAAAGGTTATCTATATAGTAATAAATAAAATTTGGCACATAGGTTCCTTAAGTGATGTAAATGAGCACTAAGAAGGGATTTTTGAAAATTCGACCACTAAGGGGTGAAATTAGGGATGAAAAGCTGCATAAAAATTTGTTAAAATCTGGTTTAAGAGTATGAAATTTTTTCACGAGTGCTCCTTGACTGACGTAATTGAACACTAAGGGGCAATTTTTGGAAATTCGCTCGTTAAGGGGGTGATATGGGGGGGTACTTTTGTATACAAAAAAGCATGTCCTAGGACTACGAAATTTTGCATAGAGGTGCCTTAAGTAGCGTAACTTAACAGTTCGATTATACAAAGCGATTTTAGGAAATTCTTCTACTAAGGGGTGAAACTGGGGGTGAAATTTTGCATATTTTTTTAAAATTAGTCCGAGGAGTTTGAAATTTGGAAATTGTTAATTAAGCGACGAAAGTGAGTACTCAGAAACTGTAGTACTCAAAAAAATCTGTCCTAGAAGTATGAAAATTTGCACAGAGGTTCATCAAGTGATGAAAGTTATACTCAGAAGCGAATTTTGGGCATTCATCCCTTAAGAAATAAGGGATGAAAATATGTACAAAAATTTGTTAAAATCGGTTTTAGAAGTATAAAATTGTTCGCAGACGTTCCTTATATAAGGTAATTTAGCACTAAGAAGCAATTTTTCGAAATTTTCCCTCTAAGGGGTGAAATGAGGGGTGAACTTTCTGAAAAAATCTGTCCTAGAAGTATGAAAATTTGCACAGAGGTTCCTCAAGTGATGAAAGTGAGTACTCAGAAGCGAATTTTAGGCATTCGCCCCATAAGAATTAAGGGATGAAAATTTGTACAAAAATTCATTAAAATCGGTTTTGGAAGTATGAAATTTTGCGCAGACGTTCCTTATGTAACGTAATTTAGCACTCAGGAACAATTTTTGGAAATTCGCCCTCTAACAGGGTGAAATGAGGTGTGGACGAAAAAAAAATTGCTTGTTATTGCTAAATTACGTCACATAAGGAACAAACAGAATTTCATACTTCTAAACCCGATTTTAACAAATGTTTGTACGAATTTTCATCCCTTATTTCACTCTCTTAGGAGATGAATGTCCAAAATCCACCTGTACAAAATTCCACACTCGTAGGACTGTTAGTTTTAACTAACAATTTATTAAAGTGCAACTATATAAAAATTATACAGGGTGGCGCCTCTCATACGACTCGGAGGCTCCAAGGAGAACGACCAGTTCGTATTGAAATGAAATTTTGTGAGCATATGTAAGTTAATTCTGCGCACGTTTTAAAAAATATAGAGAGTTCTACAGGGTGTCCCCAAAAAGTTACACATCAAATTTGTGTTTTTTGTAACGGAATACCCCCTTTATTAACTAATTTTAGATTCTAAGAGAAAAAATAAAGGTGTGTTTTATTAGGGAAGTATATGACTGAAATGTAAGGTTTTAGACTTACTTAAGATTTTGAAGAACAATTTTTAAATTTCAAGAAAAACTACCTAAATTGGAATTTACTCTATTGCACTTTAAATCAAATTAAAACCTGACCCATAAAGTTATACAGGGTGGGGCAAAATTAATGTTGAACATTGGTATAACCTGTATAACTCCTTTAATACCCACCCTGTATAAATCCTTTAGTTTAATTGAATCACCCAGAATATTATTCCGATATTCAATGGGAAATTCATGTCACTTCCAAATACTATTAAGGTTGCCGGCCTACCCCTCAAACAAAGATTTTCCTAGATATTTTCATTTCTATGATTTAGTGTGAATAGATCTTTATTATTTGATAAAATCTAGGGTGGCTGTGATATGTCTGACGTTACTTCAACATAGCTGTCAAATTAGTTCAACTTTAGCAACTAGTTATTATTTTGTGTCAGTTCGTCAGTTGAAACAAAAAAAAATCTAAGAAATTTTCCGAAAATAGAAACTTATCCTACATCAGAAAGAATTGATATGATTCTACTTTTAGATTCAAATTTTTGTTATATAATTATACATTTATATCTAATTTTAATTCTGTGATAATTAATATATGTTTTAAACGTATGTGGATGTTGGAAATGATGGTCGATGACATTCCCCATATAATTTTACATATCAAATGACAGCGATCTTCATTTCATAGCCATCGCTGACGCCGTTTTTTTTTCGATCATACGGTATATGGTAAAAGCCATCGATCACCATTTCTAAGGTAACTTAACGCCGTATTTTTACATACAAAATGTGCAAAAAATTCTATATGAATGAACTCACCACAATTTTCTATCCACTTTGTACATAAATTAGGATCTCTTGACGCAGGAAACTTAAACATATGTACACCTGATTTCCGAGAAATCCCACAATTATAAAATTGGCACTTATTACCAGACATTTTAATAATAATTTTATTATCACTAATCACACACAGTTATAATCAAAGACAGTCAAAGGTAAATTACCCGCCTTTTTAAAATATCCGTTAAAAACAAAAGACAGTAACGACATATCTAAATCTTCTATCTTTGTCGCATATGGTTCGTTCCTTTATTATTCCGTGATAAAGGGAAGGAATAGAGATTTTCTATGATAAGTGGTAAAAGCTAGGTTTTCATATGTACAAATTTGAAAAACTTTCCAGGAAATTCGGTCATATTATTTTCATTAATAAATTGTTTATCATAAATAAATTTATTAAAAAAAAAATTTTTGAACGAATATTCAAATTCTAAACGTTTCAATTAACAAAAAAAATTGGCCAAGTGCGAGTCGGACTCGCGCACGAAGGGTTCATTATCATTGAATGTACCATTCACACATTATCTATACTCTGTTTTTTTTTCTCAGGTAAGATTTCGACAGACGATGACAAAAGAAAAGCAGATGACGTCCCATACCAATCTATTTATTTTACTAAAAAAAGTTTCTAATAATTTTAAGTTAACTATGGATGGGTTTAAATATAAATCCGTCATATGTCGCCTCTTGTTGTTTTTAACCAGTTTTATTGGTTTATTTCAAAAATGACAGATCGTATTTCAATTTTATTGGTTTGACGGAACGATGAACGACAAACGGATGCCGATGCGTATGAACTCGCCTTTAGATTTTTGACGCTTGTCAAAGTCTTGCCAAATTGTAGGTTATAATTTTGTGTCAACTTTTGTCAAATACTCTGCGTTTTGGAAGATGATGCATTTTGATTCATGATATTACGTGTGTTTTGTGTCTTTTGAAGTCAAGTGGAAGAAAAATCGAGTTAAAATTAACTGTAGACCTAGAGCAGAGTTTATGGTTAATACTCGCTACTCAAGCAGAAAGTCTTATACACCAATAAAGTTACCATCAATCTGCCATCAATAAAGTTCGTATACCATCTCGTCGTAGATAAGTGCATCTCGAATATGGTAGAAGGACCGTATTAAACACATGCTAAAAACTGGAGTAGCTGTAAAATATCGACATCGCACGATAGGTAAATAATGGATTTTAGTACTTCAGAAAAATAATATCAAAAAGTACTGGTTTAAAAAAATTAAGATTAAAGTTAATTAATCAACCTTTAAGGTATAAAATTTGGTAAGTGTTATTATTAATAAAATAGTTTGTTTTATTTATGTTGTTTTATTTATTCCTGTAGAATATTACAAATTTGTATTTGTACATAAGTTATATTGATAAATATAATCGTAAATGCGGGAAGTTTCATAAAGCTTGAAAGTAAGAAATAGTTCTTTTTTATATTTTTTTGGTATGTGGTGTCTTGTTCTTGTTTGTGTTGTATTAACACATACCGTTTTTTATTAAATAAAATAACTGGATTACATTTTTTCAGTTTTATACAGTTTTTTTTCACAATATTTTGAAGTAATCACTTGTCAGTCAAATTTTACATATATTAATTTCCTGCTATGCGTTCCAGTTGTACCAACTTATCTCTTTGTAAAATAAAATAAACTACTTTGAAAAGAAAATGACAGACACATCTATCACTGTCAAGGATCTTCTCGTTGGACAGACTATATACAACATCAGACATTATATTATTGTAAACTTTTTTCCGATTTAGCTGAAATTTTGAATGCGCTTGTAAGTAATTTAAAAAAAATGAAGAAATACATTGCTAAAAATTGTATTAATCAATAATAAATAAGTAAAAATAAATATGTAAAAATATGTAAAAATAAAAAAAAAGACTAAGAAAAAGTCACCTTGCCTACGATTCGAACCTGCCTCACTACGTCTCAACGCCTTCAAATCCTAACGCCTTTAACCACACGGCCACTCGAGGACTTGAATATTCTGTGTAAAATTCGTACTTAAACGATAATGTTTAGTGAAAGTACTTTTTTATTTATAAACATTTATTTAATTCTGTTTTTAGTATTTGTTCTTATAGCGGCAACATAGATACATTATCTGTAAAATTTTCAACTGTCTAGCTATAAAGTTAGTTAATAAGAATTAATAGGTGTAGCATATTTCAACATTATTCACTGGTTTTAAAAAGATCAAAAAATATGCATGTGTGTTTATAGTATAAATGAATTGCTCCTTACGTTAGTTCTTATTGATATAATAGCAAAAAAGTATAAAGTATAAGCGCAATTTTATTAAAAATATGTTATTCTAAGTTAGAATAACATAGAGTTAAGAAAATATGTGTTACAATTTCTAACACATAGGTATATTTTTTTAACTCTAATGTTCTAAATTAATTGTTCAAAATATAATTGTTATTTTTTTCCTAGGAAAGATAAAACTTCATTAATTTTCATAAATAAATTTATTTCTATTAAATTTTATAGAGCAATATGTACTACAGTTTTATTTCACATTTTGTAATACTGCTTCGGTGCGGTGCCCCATTGCTATCTGTGACTTCATTCAAATTATGAAAAATCACTACTGATCTAGAAGATAAAATGTACCTAAGTACCATAATATTATAATCAAAAATGACTAATTTTGTAAATTATTACCTATAATGGTTAGATGAGATGCATGTAAACTTCTTTAGGCTGGTTTCTTAAAGTTAGGTGATTAATTATCTTCACATCGTCATAGGCTCTAATCAATTGTAGATTATTCTTCAATCAACCTGAAATATGTAATATTATTTACTTTATATCTATGAAAAATTATCATTTTCTTTATGAAAATTTTGAGTTTAAATTTAAATGTGATTAGAATAAATATACGTCACTAATTAACATTTTATCACAGGTAATATTCTATATTACTTTATGTTTACTTTTGTGAAAATATTACTTACCTATAATATTTAAACGAGTTCCTGAATGTACAATTTTACTTGTTTATCGCGATGCCGAGTTCTGAATCTTGTATTGGTTGTCTAAAACTGTTTGATTTTGCTTAGTTATATTGTATCCTATATTTTATTAAACAAACTCAAAATAATGTTTATAATTACCTTCATCAGCCTTTATACCATTAAAAGTCATTATTATCAGTTATTATTATGTAGTATGTAGTTATTTCTTTGAGTTATTTGTTGTTGTTTGTTTTCAAAGATCATTTTGAGGTTAATATCATATGAAACTTTTCGTAATTAGGCAACTGGTAAATGACGTGTGACGATAAATTAATAAAATAATAATGTACGTATTAAGTTAAATATTTATATATTAATTTAACATCCGGTATTACCTAACATCCATATCTATTTCATGTTTATAAATTACATAATTTTTAATTTTATATATTCATAATGAAATGAAATATATTTCGATATAACGTTTGGCAACCACGCAACTGAAGTGCAAGCGACATCTGTGCAAGAGAAGCAAAACCTCCCAAAAAAGTTAGAAAAGGAATCTAAAAATTTCAGATTATTCAAACGTCACTCCAATATTTTTCCAAATTGGAGTGAAATTGGGGTGACAATTTTTAACACGTAAGGAGCCATCTGGATTATGTGTTATCTGTGGTAAAATCATAGACTTAAAATAAAATATAGACTACACTATTTACATCTCAACGCGGACAAACAACCTTTTTTGTACACATGTTTACTTCTGGGTACAGTCTGTGGTACAGTCGACCGAGCCTTCCACATCCAGCCTATGTTGTCACGTCTTTAATATTATCAATATTTTTTTTCTTGTTATACACATATATTGAGATATTAATACTACAGTTTAATAAAGTAGGTTTTAATATTCCATAGATGTATTAAATAGTCCTTATAATACTAAATTATAAGTCGGATACTGTTTAATAAGGATAAGTTCTTTACAATATGACAACACCGATTAGAGGCGAGGAGCCTATTCATTCATTTATTACCTTGTAGTACGTGTCGCACGTGTGCGGTAAAGCTTTGTTGCCGCTATCTCCCCGGCTGTATTAACGCATTTTCTTAGCTTGTAGTCCTTAAGTGTTTATTTTATTGACTTTTCTGTTCAAAAACTATAAAATATGGTTCGCCAGTGCCAAATTTGCAAGAAATTTGACTTAAATAATCCATTTAAGTCTTGAAACGACTTTTTGACCGGTAGGCAACTCTCAATTTACCCATTGGCAGTCAGTGGCGTTGTTGTAGAAAGGCGCTTATTTAGATAATATTTTAGTAAAATGTAAAATCTGAATTTTTTCTTCTACATTACATTATTTACTTACTTACATTGTAACAAAATCATAATTATAACCCTGTTAATAATTAATAATGTTTTTATTAACAATATATTCCGGTTTATTCTAAAATTATCTTCAGAATCTAAAATAACATACAAGAATTTTAAAATGATATTACATTATGAAACAATATTTTTTAATATACCGGGTCGTCTCAAAAGTGGCTCAACCCTATAACTTTTTTTTTTTTTTCAGATAAAAAAACAGATTTGTATGTTAGTAGGTATATGACATAAATTAGGATTTATTGGACGTATTCAATTGTTTTTGGTCTCTTCCTGTTTCACCGAAATGATTACATCTTTCGATTTTTAAAGGCACCCTCGGTATATTGCTACTTTATTCGATAAAAAATGACACTCTGAATAGAATGACATATCATATGTCAACTTTTGACATTGTCGCTTAAAAACATATCCTATTTTAAATTTCAATCCAATTTTTTTCAATCCACTAAGTTTTAATCAAGGAGCCTTGGAAAAATAGTTTTGATGGTCTAATATAGGTTTCGTGTCTTGTCTAGGCCGGTTAAAAGATGTACAAATCGTATTTTTAATCATACATATGTCAATTTTTTCAAATGGAACAAGGGTGACTCATTAGCATATTTAGAAAAAGCATTTTTTTATGAATATATTGATACCACACACTTGGTATTTCGAGTCAAATTGTCGCTATGTCAACCGCGTGTTACAATTACAATTAAACCATATGCGAAAATGTCAAAAGTTGACATATGATATATCATTCTATTCAGAGTGTCATTTTCTATCGAATAAAGTAGAAATATACCGAGGGTGCCGTTTAAAAATTAAAAGTTATAGTCATTTCCGGTGAAACAGGAAGCGACCAAAAACAATTGAATGCGTCAATCAATCCTAATTTATTTCATATACTAACATAGTAAATCTTGTTTTTTTATTTGAAAATATAAAAAAAATATGGGGATGAGCCACTTTTGAGACGCACCCGGTATAATAAAGACAGTACCGAGTTCAAATGTAGTTTTTTATTTTATCCACTTCCTATCACCTTCCTTGCTTTAATGGAACAGATTTATGTTTTCTCTAATTTACATAATAAGACATCACTTAACCAGAAAAAAAAATTACAACAATCATATTTTTTTCTCTCCTGTCGCCGATTCTATTATATCTGTGGAATAGATCCTGTTTTGATTAATATTAGGGGTTGTAAATGTTTGACTAAAATTAATAATTTATTATTAATTTCAAAAATTACCTAATTTCGATTATAAAATTTCTTCTATAACGTGTATTTTATTATTTTTATCCTTTTTGGACTCTAAAAAACCTGTCCTAAATCTTAATAAAATATAAAAAAGTTTAAATACGATATATTTTTAATTTAATTATAGCTTCATTAAAATAAAAAAAATTACCCGGCTATGATACGGAGAGTTCAGGTGTACTTGAGAAACGAAAGACAGTGTTGTGTTTCTCGACAGAGTCGTCAGGGAACGACCGTTACGACAGAGACAACCTATCTATCGCTCGTGTCGCACTCGTTATAACCTAAAACAATAACACAACAATAACAAGACAGTGTCTGACCGCATGTTCCAGCTATTTATGAATGAGATGCTCAGTCTATATTTTATTTTAAGTCTATGGGTAAAATAGAGTTATTTTCAGTACATTACATTGGTTAATTAATGTCTTTAATTAAATTTTACAGGCAAAGAAGGGACATTTTTCACCTGGAGGGGCTACTTTACATAGTATAATGACTCCCCATGGACCTGACAAAAATTGTTTTGATTTTGCATCTAAAGAAGAACTGAAACCATATAAAATTGCTGTAGGAACTCAGGTATTTAACATACTAATACAGGTATAGTCTGCCCAACGAGACGATTCAAGACAGTGACAGTACTGTCAGTTTCTGTCATTTGTTCCATGTCGTCTGTCTAAATCTTCCCTCGACTCGTTGGACGGACTATACTATACAGTATAATATTTAAACAAGAATATTTTCTAGGCTTTTATGTTTGAAAGTTGTTTGGGATTGGCTGTTACAAAATGGGGTGCCGAGACATCTGAAAAACTTGATCCAGACTACTATAAATGCTGGCAAGGTCTCAAAAATAATTTTACAGGACCTGTTTGACGTTAAAAACTTCAAATTTTACCTAGACTGAAGTACAAACTATTATTTTGTTGGCTTTAAATTAAATTTAACTTATATAATATGTATATTTTATATTAAAATAAATAATTTTAGGTCTATTTGTGACTCGTTTTTAATTAAGCTGTTGAAATATTTTGCGGAAATACCGTATGATCAACTGCGTCCAGTTGGGTTAACTGGAAATAAACATCAATGATATTCCCCATATAATTTTACATCTCTTTGAATAAGAAGACTAAGGAAGGAGCATAATGCTATCCATGTATTCATGCATGGTGGGCGGAAAAGCCACCATAAAAGCTCTCTAGGGTGGGGATCCTTGACAGTTCTGTTTGACGATTCATTTGACACATTTGAATTTGATTTGAAATTTTGTGGATTTGTCAGTCTTTACGGAGCTGATTTTATGTTATTTATTCTACTACTGATAGTTGTATAAAGGTAGTAAATCTAGATGGAAATTGTGGCAGAACTTAAATTAACAGTGACACTATCGCGATTTATCGAAAAAGACTCTAAAATAGTTGGTTGTGTAGCGTGCGGTAGATCTCGGCAAAAATTGAGTGAAATAATGGAACAACTTTTCGCTAGTAAGTGACTATATAATATACATACGTGTAGTAAACCGATCATTTATGAAATTCACTTAAATTAACTAAATTATATATTTTTTTTGCATTTTAGCTTTTATTTACTACTTGTCAAAGATTAAATGTCAAAGAATTTAGATACGTTAATTTGACTTACCTGCTTCAGTAGCGTATCGGATGTTTGTGTTAATAAATACTTATTATAACTTATCTATTTTTATTAGAATTATATATTTTTATAACAATTTTAATAACTACCAACATTTATTCACAACGTAAAATAAAACAACAAATTATTGAGTCTACCCCACGTCTACCCTACACCATAGTTTTACATTTTTTAAATAAAATTAGAACGACACTGATAAACCGGAATTTAAGTCGGCCATATTTGAGGCCCATCGCGGTGTACCTAAGATTTTTGATATGCTCCTTCCTTAGTCTTCTTATTCAAAGTTACATCTTAGATTAATAATAATTTTACATATCGACGGTTGAAAGGAGAAATGGCTAATACCCCACTTTTGTGGAAATTGAGTTATTTATACCTTCGAAATCAGCGAATTTTTCTGCGTCGATCTACTTAGGTTTCATCCTAATAATCCTATGGTTTGGCGCATTAAAATTTTAAATTTTGAATAAATTACGAGAAACATAATGTCTTAAGCAACAGAGTTTCAAAATAAAACAGACAAACAGGTCTTCTGTAAAGCTACGAAAGTGGCGAACATAGGTGGCGAATTAGCAGTTTCTCCTTTCAACCGTCGATATAAAGTGACAGCGATCTTCATTTCATAGCCATCGTTGACGTCGTTTTTTGTGGCTGTCCTTAAACTGCCGTTAAACGGTAGCTTACTAAAATGCCGTTAATAGGTATGACGTCGTTGATGTGACGCACTTGACGGCTTTATGAAATATAGGAATTTTATAAGGACTAACCAACGCTATCCACTCCACCAAATAACCAACTTAATCAACGCCACTAACCTCGACATTTATAAAAAATATAAAAAACAAATATAAATTAGTAAAAATCAACCAACCCCACCAAATAACCAACTAACCAATGAATTAACACCCTCCAAATAACCACGCTAACCAACCCGCCAAATAACTAAACCAATGCAACCAAAAAGAGTGAAACCAATGCAATAAGATCACGCTATAAGCAAAAAAAATATAAAAAAGTCTTGGTCGGCCTGAGATTTGAACCACGGACCATTCGCTTACGAAGCGATAGCCTCAGCCACTGATCCACAGGTGCTCTTGCAAAATGCTTAAGGCTAGGCATTAGTTTCCGCCAACATAAAAAAAACGCCGTCCATTTTGGAAATGACCATCGATATTTCCTATACAGGGTGTCCCAGAAAATAAGTATTTTAGGGGGTGGTAGATGTCGATAAAAGAAACATTTTCTCTTTATCGTTTTTCAAATAAGTCCAAAATAACGGAGTTATTTTACTTTGAAAATTTCCAAAAAAACAATGATTTTTTGCTAAAATTTTGAGAACCACTGGATCTTTTCTGGATTTTCTTTCTTGTAAATTTAATCTAATACCTATGTTGCCATATTATCAAGAAATTAAGTTTTTTTTAACTAAAAACTAAAAAAATTTCGAATTTTCTAATCTTCTTTCGCAAAAAACCCTCATAGGCGTGTTTCTGGTGTTGAACTATTTATACTACCAGTTAAAATACTTGCACTTATTTCTGGGACACCCTGTATAATTAAAAAAAAAATGACAGCGATCTTCATTCCATAGCCATCGCTGACGCCGTTTTTCTGTATGCTAACTGGAAATATTTTGGAAGCAGTTTTAAAAGAACAGTCCCTCTATCAGTTTGAGTTTATATTTTTATTATGATTGCCATTGTTATCTGTTCTCTGGACAGAAATACGGAAATATATTGCAAATACTAAAACCACAAAACACATACACAAGAAGAAGTGCGAGCACCTTGCTAAATATTGGAAAGTGAAATTGACGTTTAAATTTGACACTGTTGACAAGTCTACTGCTACTAGCGCCCCCAATTTCGCTTGTAGGAACTACGGACTAAATTGTCACGCATGGCGGGAAGTTTAAAAAAATAAACAATTTTATTTCTTCATTTATTTTTAATTATGACATACACAAAAACACAAAAAATACACCATTTTTAAAAATATGTTTAATATCAATATCAAATATACAACAGAAATTAATTTCACCACAATAAATTAATAAAATTAAAAGAATAATGTTACAAGTAGATCAAGGGACAAAATTAATTATAACAAAACTGAAAAAAATGGCGTCATAGATGGCTTAGGAATAAAAGATATATCATAATTTTGAAAGTAAAATTATATGGGAAATGTCTTCGATCATCATTTTTAAGCCAACTGGACGATTATTTCAAACATACAAGCTGAGCTCGTTCATAGTGCTCTGAGAAAAATAGATAAACAAAGAATAATAAATTAAAAGTATTCCAGGGGAAAAGAGAGGAAAAACCTGTATCGTCTCTGATATCTGTCAGGGTATTGTTGAAAGTGTCATCTTTTTGCTCGAAGTTTTCAGGTCGATCAAAAAGATGACATTTACAACAATACTTTGCTGTAACTTTCACAAATATCAGAGAGAGTACATACAGGTATTGCCTCTCTTTTCCTCTGGGATGCTTTATATCTGTTGTTCTTTGTTTATCTATATTTCTCAGAGCATAATGCCGAACACGACTACAGTATATAATAATTTCAATATCCGAAGTGGAAAGAAAAAAGATCACCTTTCTGTTTTGTACTATGGTCCCTTTCTTCCGATGGCTCATCTCGTTGATATTTAGGAAGGATAAATAGGAAGGAAAATATAAAATTCAATTTGATTTGATGATCCTTTTCTGTCACCTAAAATCAGGAGAACGACAATGAGCATGTTAAGATGAAAAAAAAATTATCAACACTTACCTACACGTTAGTCCGAGGAGTTTTATTAAAAACCTATATATTTGCCTAAATAATTTATGTATTAAATTTGCAAAGCAAAATGTAGCGTGTAAACAAAAGAAATAAAATGGCGACAGGTCAACGTCAACGACCCGACAAGGAGAAAAGTGGTGTTCGAATAACAAATTATGGGTCACCAAAAATTGTTTTTGTCTCCTTTCAACGCACACTTTAGAAAGAAAAAGAGATGAACTGGAATACTGAAAGAAAGTCAAGGCTTTATCTGTCACTCTTGTCAATAATTTATCGGTAAGGAAGATTCCTAGAAAATCGCTTGTAGTCAAGTTTTCAACCATTTCCAGTTCTCCCATAAGAAGTGTCATCCACCTGACTAAAACCCTTGTTTATATATTCTTAAAGTTGTTCAACCAACTCAGAGAAATAGAAGGGATAGAGAATGAGCTTCAACATGCGCGGAAGGTCTAATCAAGTTGGGCGCCATATTCCAGGTCTCCGTGTCATTTTGTATATAGGTGGTAATCTATAAGTAATCAAATATCAATTTGCTGTTTTCAACCATACGGGGGGCAATTTAAATTTAGTGAAATTCTATCATTTATTATGGTTAGTTAACATTAATATGATTTATTTAATTATCAGTTTGAAAACTGCGTACAATATTGGTATATAATACACTAAATATACGAATATTCTGACAAAAGACGCTACGGACAGATGACCTTTTCGTCGTTAAACACTCGAAATGCCATTAAATAAGTATTTAAATTATTTCATGTTTACTGGTACATTATTTATAATTTATAATGCTAATTGCTGTTAATTAATATTTAAAAAAAAATTATATACCTATTTTAATTTGATTTAATGCAGGTTTATAAAAGAATCTGCTTTACCAATTTTACGATATTTTTTTTTGAAAACATAAAACTTTTTACATTTTTGATGACAACTAATTGGCATGGTATTATTGGTATGGAAATTAGCCAAGAAAGAAAAGAATTGGCTATAACTTGTAATTTTTCGAAAAAAAACATATTATACCTATATCGCTGAAAAGCTTCATAAAGAATGGGACTCTTTATGAAGTCATGGTCAACTAGGGTTTCCATTTAAAAAAAAAACATAATGTTTGTGTCATATGTCAAAAATGACAGGCTTTAGAAAAAAAAAACAGAAAACACACTCATCAGGTATGTGATTATCTACAACTTTTATCTGAAAACTTTTTGTCTAAAATACCATATGATCGAATAAAAACGGCGTCAGCGATGGCTATGAAATGACGATCGATGATATTTTCCATATAATTTTACATATAAAATGACAACGATCTTCATTTCATAGCCATCGTTGACGCCGTTTTTATTCGATCATACGGTAGATTATAATGGAATTAGAGACAAGTATTAAAATAGCCAAAATTTGTTTTTTTTTCGTAATATCTAGTAAGCCTTGAACTTCACCGAAAAATCCGAAAGGCGCATATTTAAGACCCCACAAAACTGCAGTTCTTTCCCCATTTAACAGACTCTCTGTCTCCAGTAGTTTCCAAGATACCCATAGCGAACATCGTAGGAAACTCACTCTGTCTAGTATTTAGAAACTAACTATTATTATTATTTGACTAGATTTATTTGATTAATAAGACTCGATTAATTTATTTTAAAATAAATTTGATCAGATTTTTTTTTCGTACATGCTACTACCAGAAAACCAAAATTATATGATAAGCACTTTTCAACGAAGTTGAAAGAAGATATAGTGTATCTATCACAATACTTAATAGAATTACTACAATTAGAAGAAAAACAAAAAGAAAAAATACCCAAATACCTTCACCACTCATCTACAAAATAAACGAAAATAATCTCTTATAAAAACACTACACAACTACTTCTTGTACTTTACACTGAAAAAATGATCAAACTTACTAATTAACCAAACAAAAAGAAAAAATAACTAAATTATCCCTTCAATTCATCCTACTACTTAACTACAAAATACTAAACTATAAAAACACTACTAAACTAATTCTGGTATTCTACACTAAACATTATAATTAAACTTAATAAAATTAATCTAATTTTACACTACAACCACAACAACTACAAAGACATAAGAACATTTTTTAAAACTAGAAGAAACAGAACTTCGATACGTGCGACCAGTATAATAGATCAAGCTGACAAAAAATATAAAATACTTTAAAAATGTGCATTCAGAAAGAAAAAATATCTCGAAAATTATCTAAACAAACAAGTTTTTTTCTTATCAGTGAAAAGCATCGGCCTCGTCGGCCTTGTGGAATTTGTCGGGTATTTACAATGGTCAAATTGAATAATTACCAGCTTTTATAGCATATCTATAGACAAAAAGTATCTGGTCGATTAGTAACCAATTGGCACAGTCCGAAAATTATCGATTTTTATTTTCTCTGTTTTTATTGGTCGCTTCAAAATTCAGAGCAACAAAAAATATTTTTCTGTAGTAAAAGACTGTGAAATACGCCCCGCCATCTGGTGCTTTACATCCATAAACGTCTTAGGTTGAGCTACTTTAAAAATTCATATACAAGGCTAAAACCCTTGTACTATTTAAGATTGAGGATAGAAATTTAGTTAAATCATTTCTTCCGCACCCAAAAATAGATATAATTTCCTTCCTTGCAACAACCCGAAAGATTTTGATACATCAAACTGGTGCTTTTATAGGAAGGTACAAAAACACATTTAAAAATTACTTCAAATTTATCAATAAATGTTCGTTACCTTCTTGAAAATGCCCACTTACCTTACATCTTAGGTCCTTCTTGCAGCAAAGATCTTCCAACTGAAGAAATATTGACTTAAATCTCGTCCCAATTAGTTCGAGATTATATTTTTTGGACAAAACAGATCATTTTATAGCAGTGCAATTCAACAAAAAGGAATAGAAATCATAAACACCGAAGACATTATCTATAGACAATTAAATTAAAAATTTATTTAAAAAATACTCATTTTACAAACTCTTACAGGCTAATATTTACAGAATAAAAATACAAACATTCTATCGGATAGATTTATTCTTATCACATATATAAAATAAAAAACGGATTTATTTTAATGCGCCGACACGCTAACTTGCCATACCCTGATAATATTATCTGAGTAACCGGCGAACAAGGTTTGACCATCGGTCGACCACGCCAATGACAAGCACTGTGGTGGTTCGGCTTTGGATCCAGGCGACTGTGATACAACTTCCGGTTTGAGTTCCTCAACCATTTCCTTGCTTTCCAAGTCCCAGATTTTGATTGAAGGACCGAAAGCTGCACAGAGCCAATATCTGGAAAGAAATATTATATTTAATATTTGTTTCTTGATATCAAAGTTTTTTTAGGTTAGGAAAAAAAGTATCAGTCCCATATCCGCATAAACCCTTTCATAAACTATCAAGGGGCCAAAAATCTCATCATAAGCATTTTAAAAGTATGGTACGGTGCAACCAACAATGAATGAAACAGTTGGCAATATACTGTTATATGATTCAGGGAAGATTTCAATAGACGACGACGGAAAAAAAGTCAATTAAGAAAATTGTCAAATTAAAGGTTATTATTGGTCTCTAATTATGTCAAATAACCTGCGTTCCAGAAAATGATAAATATTTGGCATTTTGCATTTGCAATTTTAAATATATTAATTTCCCGTTTTGCACTCCGCTTGTACCAACTTATTTCTTTGTAAAATAAACTACATTGAAATTAAAATGACAGTTGTTGGACAGCCTATAGTTGATAACAAGAACAATAAATATTTCATCATTGTTGACTGTACCATATATTTTTTTGTAACTACATACCTGTTTGGTGAGAAGCACAAAGCTGTGATAATGTCGTTGTGATCCAAAGTGTGAAGATGTTTGCCATCATTCAAATCCCACAACATGGCTTTGCAGTCTTTTCCTCCTTTAAAATAAAAATCATAAAAATTAATCACTAAAAACTTGGGTAATTATTGCGAAAACTGGAAATGGCCAGTTGTAACCAATGCAATCAACACTCTTCCGCGTAACTTTGTGGATATAGGTACGTATATTTAATTATTGTCGATCTCATAATAGGTGATTTATTTAAAATCTCTAATCGCCCGAAAAAATAGAAGATATGGCAACGTTGTAAATTTTCAAATTTCTAGATTAGGTCTAGGACATATTTGTCTCTCTCATTACATAGGAGAGAGAAAGAAGGATATATCAAATGTCAAACTTCAATGTGGTTTCAATTTTCTTTGTTATTTTGTTAAGAAAGGGTTTTTCAGTAAAATTTTGGACATTTCTCTATCCCCAATCAAGTGTGGCTTTTAGATAAACTATAATATAATGAAAATATAGTGAAATTATTACTTTATAGGGCCGAAATAAAGAAAAAATCAATGTTGAAATAATTTTCCGTTTTTCTGAAAAACGGTAAGAGACCGCCAAGAAAAAAGTTCAGATTCGTAATCTACGACCTCAAAATAGGTTGTATAACAATTTTGGTGAAAATCTGATAATTTCCAGGTTTCCCAATAATTACCAAAACTTTTATTTATCATCAAAATCCTACCTGAAGCACACAGCGATCCATCAGGGGATACAGTAACTGTATTCAGGTAACCTGCATGTCCAGAATGGTTAATCTTTAGCCTGCAATTGGTCAAATTCCATACTTTAACCATACGGTCCCAGCCTGCTGAGACTATGATTGGATTGGCGTGGTTTGGAGAGAATCTCACACACGATACCTAAAAAATAAGACTAGTTATTTTAGTTTTACTATAAAGAGTGAAATTTACTAACCCAATCGCTGTGTCCATCCTCCTGAATTGTGTATTTACATTCAGCCAATGTATTCCACAATTTAATTGTTTTGTCTCGAGATCCGGATACAATTTGTCTGTTGTCAACTGAGAAAGCAACACTCAACACATCCTAAACAGAAATATTTAATGTTAAAACGTGTGTGAATAGCTATAAATTACTTATTCTATCATTATAATACATGAAAATACATTTTTTTCATTAGAACATGCCTATACAATGTTTTCTTAAATACATCTTAATTTTTCAACCCCAGAAGTATGCCTATCACTCTTTAAGAGATTATTCTATACTCTTTCCAGTGGAAGAATATACCATTATGACTCAGAAAATCTAAAAAATTACATTTGTTTATGAATTATACCATAGAAAAATTATTGTTAATGTTATGAGTATATCCTTTCTCTGGACAAAATATATAGCAAGACCGAACCTGTGTACTATTTAAGATTGAGGATAGAAATTTAGTTAAAATCATTTCTTCCGCACCCAAAAATAGATATACTTTCCTTCCCTGCAACAACCAGAATGATTTTAGTACATCAGACTGGTGCTTTTATAGGAAGGTACAAAAATACAATCAAAAATTACTTTAAATATCCCAATAAATGTTGGTTTTCTTCTTGAAAATGCATACTTACATCTTAGGACCCTTTTGCAGCAAAAATCTTCTGTCGTAACTGAAGAAATATAATAAAAAACAAAAAATCTTCTAGCTGTTGTTAAAGAGAGAATTATTAAACCGTTTACATATAAAGGTTAAGGTCCAGAGTCTTATATGAAAATTTATTACAGTAAGTCTCAAGAAAAATTAAAGATTTTCATTTAAAACTCTGCCATAACCGGGCATAGGAAAATCTAGTCAAACCTGAGTATGATCCTCGAATCTCCTGGTGGTTTTGCCTGCAGCCAAGTCCCAGAGACGTAGGGTTTTGTCCCAGGAACCCGATAGGGCATAGTTACCATCACTGGAGAGGACTACGTCAGAAATAAAGTGTGAATGTCCATGGAGACGTTTTTGGGGTACTCCGTATTGTGTGTCTTCGCGAGTCAATTTCCATACAATAAGGGTCTTGTCTGGAAAAGAGTTTTGCTATGTTAAATATGCATGGAGCAAGTCATAGCAATTTTCTACTATATTTCACTTAAAACGGAATAAACGACAAAAATACTGGTTTAAAAACATTATGTAATTCTTTGGGAATAAAGTCTGATTAAATTAAAATAAAGATGATTATCCTACATCAAAAAATTAAAAGATTTCTAAACAGACATTGAAAAAAAAAAGGAGAAGTCTTCTTACCTCTCGACGACGACAAGATCATGTCGGGAAATTTGGGGTTTGTGGCGATTTGCGTAACCCACCCATTGTGCCCCAAAAGGGTGCCTTTAAGTTGAAGGGTTTCAGACATTTCTTCGTCAGAAAAAGTTAAATCGACGATCCAACTCGTTCGACTACCAAATCAGAAAAGGATGATGGCGGATTTTGCTGGCGGAAAAGTTGACTTTTGCTCTGGTGATAAAATTATGTAACTTTTGGATGTATAGAATTCTACACAAAAAAACGACAGGTTTTTAAATATTCAACTATTTCTCTTAGGGGAAAATGAATTTATAAAATAAAAACATTAAGAATATGATTTATTAACTTTACGGACACTATACAATAAACAAAATAATTTTTATTACAACTTTTTAAAGTAGTACAAAAAGATTTTGATAGATGTCGATAACATAGGAATTATTGATATCTGTCATCTGTCATCTATCAGCCGGTCGTCAGTGCACATTTGATCTTTGCTGTTCTATTTTTCAAGAAATTTCAAGTAAGAATTTTACAATTTTAAAGTGATTTTTTCATTAAACGATTGTTTTTAGAATGGCAGGACACGAAGACCCACCAGAAGCAGCAAACCTGAAGGGCTTCAGCAAATATTTTAACAGTCTTACCACCAGAGGAAGGGCAAACGTAAGATTCTTGTTACCTAATCAGTTGATCAGTTCCCTTTAAAAAATATAACTATCTATGTTTAAATATATATTTGTTTGTTTTTTTCAGGTCACTATTGCGACATATACTGGCTGTGCCCTTTTAGGGCTCTATTTTTACTTGAAACCCAAGAAGGAGGAACCTGCAGTTAAATAGTTATATAACAATGTAGATTTTTTTCTTAAAATTATACCTATATGTTAATAAAATACCTGTGTAAGTACTAAAGTACGTTTGGAGTTTTAATGTGATCAGAAACTGACGAAAAAATCAGATTGTAGTTAAATTTTTTATAAAGTTGAAAAAATAAACTTGTGTATTTGTAGTTGCATAACTTTAGTGTTGATTTTTATTTAACAGGTTTTTAATTAAAATATAGTAATTATTTATTATTTAATTCAGATTATTTATTATGGTGTATACAAGGTGAGTCATTAGATGATTTTATTCATATTTTTAAATCTCCTAACTAGATATATATTTTATAATTTGAAAGAGTGTGATATATATTTTACCTATTTTTGGTTAAATATTTTTTAATACAGTTTTCACTACTTACCCTGTATATACTAAGCAAATATAGTCCATGAAGGCGAGACTACTTGTTAAAAGCATATCAATAATTTGCAATTTTGTAAGTGTATAATATTTAACCAAAAATGGTCATACTTCGAAAACCACCCTGTATAGATTATGAGATTTGATATTTTTAGAATGGTAATTTTATAGTAAATCTATTGAACACAACATAATTCACACAGTATTACATTTAAAAGTACTACAAAAATTTTAAAACCCCTAGTTGAATAAGACTGTATTGTTGGTTGCCGATCCAATACATAAAATGCAAATTTCCTTTCGCGGTAATTCAAGATTAAAAATATTTTTAATGAGTTTATGTAATTTAAGCTAATTAGTTTCATATTTCGCCTATATTTATTGATTTTTTTCGTTTTTAACTAATTTTAACAATACACAACATTGCGATTGTTCTAGCGGCGCGTTATTCAGTATATTTCAAGGAAAATGAAAAAAACTAGCGAAAAATAAACGGAAACGCGCGTTCTAAAAATACCCGCCCGCCGAAAACAGTACGGTGGTCGCGAATTTTCACTCAAATAGCGCAAGGTACTCGCACAGATCGCATTTTCAAGCCTTCATCTCGCGTAAAATTCATTTTGAACTTTGCCATCGCCAGTTCTTCCGTTCCTCTACCTTTTACGCTTTGACTGTGATCGAATTCCTTCATCCCGCCGTGTTTCCCAGTACATTCTAAACGTCCGCGATTCTCAGGTATGTCCTTCGCTGAAGAAATAGCCGGCATGGCGTATGTTGATGGTGGTTCTTGATCGCAGAAGGCCGGTGGATGAGCGTACTCGCTCAGTGCTGTGGTGCTGTCGTAAAACAAAAGACACACGGTTTTCGGTGTCAACAAATTTTTTTAAGTAGGTGTACAAGGTTTTATTTCAAGTTTGTTGCGTAAAATAGGTGAAAAAAAACGCTTTTTTTGTGGGTGATAAGTTATTTTCGCGCGTGTGTGTTTGGTTTGGTTTGAATCGTATCGTACAGGAGTGAAATGGATCGTATCGTACAGGAGTGAAATAGTACGAAAATTCGGTATTTTTTTTGGTGTTTGGAATATGTGATAAATCTGGTGATTAGTGAATTGTTGTAGCAGTGCGAGAAATAGCAGGGATTGGTGAATTTGGCGATCTGCAGGATAGGGATAAGAAAGTACGCGAGGAATGTGATTAAAGGTAAGTGCCATCTTTCACCATGAGGTTTTTTATATTTAATAGAGATTTATAAAAAAAACTTTCGAAAAATTATTAATAATTTGACACAAATAAATGTTTTATTTATAAATTCATCGCCCGCTAGGATTAATACTACTCTCTTGAATTAAGCCACTCTTTTGGTTGATTTTAATATCCTTTAATTTTGAACCAAGTAGATACTTTTTCTGGATCAAATTTTTTACAGAGTAGACCAATAACAATTAATAGGGCACATTAACTTATGTCGTTTCTTTGGAGAATTACTAAAAAATATCAAAGAGACTAACGTTAATTTTAAGGAATAATAAAACAAACATTAGTTTAGGGTATACAGGGTGCCGAAAATTAGTGTTTTATTTTTTTTATTGATTATAAAATATTTTAATTTTGAACTAAGCATGTACTTTTGTTGGATTGAATTTTGTGCAGTGTCAGCCAGTAATAATAGAGCACTTTTGAGAATTAGTAAAAATATTAAATACTATGCTGTATCATAGTACATTAGTTTTAGGGAAGGGGATATACAGTATGTTCCCGGATTGTCTTTACAAGAGGAAAAAAAACTTTTTTATTATGGACATTTCGAGAAAAATGCATTCTTCATAAAATTTTTTGCGTGTTCTAAAATGGTTAATCCCCTTTATAGTTTTCCAAATTTCCATACCGTTTTAGAGAAAATTAAGGAAAACATCAAATTAGGGCTGAATTTTTTCTGTCCTGAAAATCAAAACGCGTTTCTGTGGTAATATAACTTCGTTTTCATTCTTTGATAGATTTTTATTGGTAGAATTTTCTTAATTTCATGTCTTTATTAATTTTCTTCAAAACGGTATCGAAATTTGGAAAATTATAAACGGGATTTTTTAGAACAAGCAAATTTTTTTATGAAGAATGCATTTTTCTCAAAATGTCAGTAATAAAGACAATCCGGGAACATACTGTATATTAGTTTTAGGGAATATTATAGTACATAATTAAAATTTATTTTAGAGTATACAGGTTGCTTTAAATTATGCTTTTTATTGAAAAATACTATTTTTTTTATTTAATTTTAGATTCAGTCTAAAATTCTATCAATTTTTCATTAATACTTTGATAGGTATATGGAGAACTATAAGTTTTTGCTAATAAACCAATTTCCAAGTAAAGAAGTACCGTCTGATCGAAAAAAAACGGCGTCAAAGACGGCTGGGAAATGACCACGCCAAAATTATCATAGATTGTCATTCCCAGCCGTTTTTGACGCCGTTTTTTTCAATCGTATGGTACATACATTTTGCTCTAAAGAATGCGATAAATAAGTAATTAAGCAAAATTAGCTAAAATAAGGTGTAATTTTCTAACGCTATAGGTTTTCACTGTCCATTTTTTGTTTGATCATGCACGACATTTAATACCAAACTGGTTTCGTGAGACGCTACTGAAGCCTGGTCCCTGATTGAGTCGGTACACAAGATTATTATTACATAAAAATACGACGGTTTTACTGAAAAACGAATATAATGCAGCTGAAATTAACATAAACTTGTATAACAAGCTATTACCATACTATTTGCGTATAAATACCCATTTTGTTATCGAGTCTTCTTTAAAATGAGCGTAGAGAAAGTGTATTACGAGGGATGATCAAAAATTAACAGAAATAAATAAAATAAACAACCAGTAGTGAGGAATTTGCTGTACAGGGTGTCCCATTTTTGTGTGTTTTATGGGGGTCTCGTTTATGAGTAGAGATACAAAGATGCGGGTTTTCAAACAGCTTCAGTTCAACAGTTTTGAATTACGCAAGCGTGAAAAGTACTTTATTGTATTGACTATTTCCATTCTGAATATCTTCAGAACGGTTACTCATAGCGATTTTTACCAAGAGACATTTTTTAAGTAAAAAATCACGGAAACGTATATTTTTTCACTCAGTAGTTTTATACAGGTACGGACAAAAAGTTTGGTTTGGTTTGGTTTGGTTTGGTTATTACTCTTCAAAACAGTTAAAACACATGTAGGGGGCGTCCCGTACAAATAGGAGTCATATTGACATCAAAATCAAATTTCTCATGTCAAAAAACTTCCGGACACCAATTTTGATCCAAATATTGACCTTACTTCAGAAATTATTTGAGAAAAATCGAAATAAAAATGAAACTTCTACACCCTGTATCTCCGAAACTAGACATTTTACGACATACATTTATAGAAACTTTTTTACTTATTTTTATCTGCAGAATCTGCTGGCGAAGTTTCCAGAATACAATTCGGACCACCCTGTATATCTTATCAATTTTTATCAAGAACATGATGGTGAAAACCGCACATTGTACATTTTTAACAAATATCTGTAACCTTATTGCTATGGAAAATTTTGTATTTTTGTGAAAACATTTTCAAAGCACCTTTTTACGTAGAATTTAATGGTTTAAGTATAATTTTTTTTAAATTAATAATTTCAGAGTTACCAACAGAAAATTTGATTTTTATATGGGACACCCTGTATATTTTTAATTCATTGAAAATAATTTAAAATTACCTTTCCAAAAATAAGCATTTCGCTCGATTCCTCTTCGAGATATAGAGGCTTTGAACGGCACCGGCTATAATGGCAAATAATATTCTTGCTGTGAGCAGCAATTAAAACGAAAATAATATTTGCAATGAGAGATGCAGAATTTTATAACAATTTAATAACTGTATTTAGCAACATCAACATTCAACATAGATAGATAGATAGACAGATAGATAATGCTTTATTTATTTCCTTATTGTATAATACAAAAAGAAACCCAAAAAAAGGGCATGGAAACAATGTCAGTGAAAAATTTTAAAAGAAAATAACTGCATATTTCAACAAAAAATGAACTATATGAACAAAAATAAATAGTAATATTAAAATTAAATATTTTATGAAAATAATACTAATAATGAATTAAATCTATGTATGTATAGACAGATAACAACACAAAATTATACTTACAATAAATAACAAATTTAGATCAAATGATACAAAACAAAAGTAAAACCTTATATTTAAACTATATCTAATAACAATAAAAATAATAGCAGTGGGGGTGAAAGATACCTTCCTAACTACTTCTAATTCATGTCTAGATTATAGGGACAATTTAAAAATAAGAACCTTTATTCTTCCGCAAATATAAAAATTCACTAAGGATAACATGCAAGTCCGGCGGCCACGACGGCCAACGTCAGGGATCTTGGTTATCTATTCAATTATTCTCGAAATTGGCTGCAAAAATTTGCTGATAACTGTCTTGCTGGAAAAATATGTTTTCCAGTTCCATTAGGGGCAGAACATCAATAAGGGGTCCAAAGCCTACTAAAAGTGGCTCAAATATCAATTTTTGGAAAGGTAATTTTAGGTTCTTTTCATTTAATTAAAAATATACAGGGTGTCCCAAATAAAAAAATCATTTTTTCTGTTGATAACTCCTGAATTATTAATTTAAAAAAAATATACTTAAACCATCGAATTCTACGTAAAAAGATGCTTAGGAAATGTTTTCACAAAAATACAAAATTTTCCACAGCAAAAAAGTTACAGCGATTTGTTAGAAATGCACATTTTTTAAGAACACCCCGTACTCATAAACGGTAACAGATATCGATGTGCGATTTTCACCATAATGTTTTTGAGAAAAATTGAGCTCCAGACACCGATATTAGTTTTCGTCGATTTAAGGCTTCATTTCTCCAAGGGTATCAAAGTTTTTAATACTAAATATTTACTGAAGTTTATTTACTGATCAGTTATTGTGTTGCAATAATAAAAATAATACTACCTTATACAGAGTGTCTAAAAATTTATTTTAAATAATTATTAGCTTCAAACGGCAATAACTTGTTTAATTTAAATGGAACACCCTGTATATTTTACGAGAATCAGATGCACAATTTAATTGTCTATCAAATTATATTATACCATTTTTTACCTATCTCTTTAAGTTTCCGTAGAAAATGCATTTTCTTGTAATTTAGAACTTATTTATCAATATACCCATGGACTATTGACATTTTAGATTATTTTTAAAGATGTACCAAATTTTTAAAGAGTACAGATACATGACAGATACTAATATTGTCGATATAATTCGTTTATTTCATTAAAAAATAAAAAAAACTGTTTAAATATTTGTTAAAGAGGACCAATTAATATTATTCCAGTATTCAAACTACATTAACTGACTGTTTGCGTTGATTAATAATAATTGCTCCAAATACTAAAAAACTGAATTTTGTATGGGCATTAGACAGTGTGATAAAAAGTAACACCTTAAAATGATATTTCATTTTTTAATAAATGCTTATTTATAACAACAAAGACTTTAATTTGATAACTTAAATTAATTAAAAAAAAAAAAAAAAAACAAAAATCAACATATATTTATAATAATTTATTAACGAACACAATTAAGTATGTCATTAATTAGTATATGGGCGGAAATAATGGTGTTATATTTAATTAATGGTATACTCTTTTATAAAGATTTAAATAGTTTTCTTTTTGCATACAAATGGGCTAGTAATATTATCGTTGTGCTGAAAACGATAATATTACTAGTCTGTACATTTTGTACATTTGTTGCTTTAAAAACAATTAAAATGTCAATATTCCATGGATATATTGATAAATGAGGTCTAAATTATAAGAAAATGCATTTTCTACGAAAACTTGAAGGGATAGGTAAAAAGTGGTATAATACAATTTGATAGACAATTTAATTGTGCATCTGTTTCTCCTAAAATATACAGGGCATTCCATTTAAATTAAAGAAGTTATTGCCGTTTGAAGCTAATAATTATTTAAAATAAATTTTTAGACACTCTGTATAAGGTAGTATTATTTTTATTATTGCAACTCAATAACTGATCAATAAATAAACTTCATTAAATATTTAGTATTAAAAACATTGATACCCTTGGAGAAATGAAGCTTTAAAATTTTTACTGCAATTTCACAAAATTGA